CAAACTCTCCAAGGTCTTCAAGTTAAAGAAAATATTTCCAGCATCCACTCTGCATTTTGAAAGCTTCACTAAAGATATCAGATTATCCTTGTAACTTTTCTCAGCGTGGGCGAACAGTCTGATTTAAATGCTGTCTGTTTCAGGGACCTGATACATGTGAAAATAAAGCCCTGCGCTCAAAAACAATCAATACAAACACCAAAACACTAACTCGTCCCACATGCAGCAACTCTAAAAGACCCTACACGTCATCAGATGTCTCTTATAACTGACACGATGTTAAAATCATGTAGTAATGTGAAAGAGTTTTGTAATTCCGTTGCACTGCAAATCAAACACTGCCAGCAAAAGCCTCCGCATGTGGCAGTTTGGTGAGTTACAGTGATGGATGAGATGCTCTTTCTTTTAATGTGCAAGAGCTGCAAGAGTCTGCGTTTATGGGCTCAGCTAAAATGTCCAGGACAGAAATATTATGCATTTGATCTCGAAAACAGTTAGTAAACAGAGAATTGCTGATTTACGCTCAAGCCACAATTCAACACCGCTGTGTGATTTATGCTAATACTAAACGAGTCAGGAAGTGTGATTTATGCCAGCGATGAGCTGCTGGGAATCAGTGTTGGGATTTCTATCTAGCTGTGTGAATCTAACTCAGAGAGGTTTCATGATGAGTCGGAGTTGATCACAAATCATTCTGAACGCTGCATTAGCTTTCATTATTTATTAGCATTTTTTTTTTCGCAGGCTAGAGAGCAGAGTACTTGTCAAAACAGAATGACATCTTTTTTAACATCTCATTTGTGATTTAAAATCTACAACCCACCAGAATATTTAAAGTTATAGTTAAACCAACAATGTATTTATTCAGTTATTTATTTACTCGTAGAGTTGACTCTATTAAAACAGTAAAACTTTCATTTTAATTTACAGTATATATACAGTAGGGAAAATATGTATTGAACACGTCAACGTTTTTCTCAGAAAACATATTTATAAAGGTGCTGTTGATTTGAAATTTTCACCGGATGTTGGTAACAACCAAAGAAATCCATATATGCAAAAACGAATCTAATCAGATTACAAACTAAGTCATGTGTAATAAAATAAAATGACACAAGGAAAAAGTATTGAACACATGAAGAAAGGGAGCTGTAGAAAGGCAGAGAAAGCCCAGACAGCAGCTGAAATCTTTCAGTAGTTCTTCAGCAACCCTCTGCCCTTCCTCAGTGTAAATAAATCCTAACTGCTTCAGTCCAACATCTACATTAGCAGGAGGATGAAGATGAAACCATAGTTGACATTTTAGCAAGACAATGATCCAAAACACAACCAAGCAAACTCTTAAATGCTTTTAGAGAAAGAAAATCCTCATTTGTAAGTCGCTTTGGATAAAAAGCGTCTGCTAAATGACTAAATGTAAATGTAAATGTAATGAAAATCAAGCTGTAGAATGGTTCACCCAATCACCTGACTTAAATCCAATAAAAGACAAATTAAAGATCAGATTTGATAGACGAGACCCACAGAACTATTAAGATTTTAACAATCTGTTGAAGTCTGTGGAAAAATCACCACTGAGCAATGCATGTGACTTCATTCTCCATATGAGAGGTGTTTTTAAGCTGCCATCACCAGAAATGCCTTTTCTATATAGTACTAATTATGTTTCAGTAGTTCACCACTTTCTCCTTGTGTCATTTCATTGTTATTACACATTTTTTTCTTGGTTTTGTTTTATTTTTATGTTTGTATTGTTTGGGTTTTTTATCATACCAATTCCATGTCAACAGCTCCATTAAACATATTACTCCCAGGGAATAAACATGACTTGTTCAACACTTATTTTCCCCTCTGTATGCAGTATATAGCTCAAACCTATGTGATTCATAACAAGAAACAAAAAAAAAAAAAAACATACACAGGTAAACTAAATTAATATCTGTGAATTTATAATTTTATAAATCACCAAGGACCACAGTTTTCGCCAATATATTTCTTACAAGTTTAAGGTTACATAAATCTTGGAGGGCCTAAAAGTAAAATTAATAGCAATGTATTATAATTAATAATTTATTACATTTATTATTAATAAACTGTATTATTATTAATAGTAGTAATAGTAGTAATTGTTAAAAGTTGAACCATTAGCGAGTTTTTGGCGAGTGAATTTCTGTGTAAAATTGATAAAAGTTTATTCAATTAAATTATAACATTGATGAATTGACATCATGGGCACTATTTTAACCCCTTCAGACCTGAATTATGTTCCAAATTTCAGAAAAATGGGATGTCATGTGATGTCCATTGTAATGGACGCAGGGTCTGAAGGGGTTAATGATCTAGACGCAAAGTCTAAAGCGCAGGGTGCAAAAGCATTAAGGGCGTGTCTGAATCTACTTTTGCTATTTTAGGGCTAAAAAAAAATAGGCTCTGTGCCGTGGCGCATGGTCTATCATGGTTGTGTTTATTCTCTTAACGAGGTATGAGTGTGTTGAAGACATCCATTAGCCTACATATTTAATTTAGTTTGTTAAGTGCAACGATTTGTTTAAAACTATTTCAGTTCTAATTCCCATCAAACTAATAAATGAACAATAATAGCGAAGTTTAGTTGAAAACGGAGTTATATTAAAAAACACGTGCAGTTCTTATGCCCCATATGGTCTCCAAAACCTGACAGGTGGACAAATCTAAACTCGTTTTTATTAAAACAAATATAAATATGCATATAATAAATAATAGGCAACAAAAATCGCAACAAATCGTGCCAAGTCTTGTGCCTTATTGCGTCGGTGTATGATAGGGCCACATGTGTAAAATGGGAAAATGTGTTTAGATGAAACTCACAAGTACTCACAGAACATGTAGACTTCATATACAAACAGCAGCATCTCTGCTGTTTAATATTCATAGGCACTAGTTCATATCACAGTTCATTTTATATTTTGCCAAACTACGAACACATACAGAAAATGATGTTTATGACTGGATCCCATTATTTTGTGCACATTTCATGCCATGCAGCAATCATAGACTCTTTCCATATTCAGTTTTCAATTAAGAATATCATTTTCGCTGTAGTTCTTTCATTTCAGGCTTGTTGATAGTAAAGGGCAACACGCACATTTGCATAATGACTCGTTTTAGTGAATAATCAGTTTAATGATTAATCTGAAACAGCCTCCTGTCTGAGTCATATAACATAACACGCTGTCAGCACAACACTGCTCACATGCTTGATTTGTTCATAATTGAATTCATTTATCATTCTATCACAAACTCAACAGCAGATTGATGAAGAAGGGAGCTGTTTGCTCCATTAACCCAAACAGAACGAAATCAACGTCCCATCACAGAAAAGGGCGAATGGAGGAGATTAAACTATCATGTTTAAAAGTCAACAAGTAGAATCAAACCACACACACACACACACACACACAAAAACCAGACATAATACTAAAAGAATGAATCTTCAGCCACAAGCTTATATAATATTGCTTTTTTCATTAGTCTGATTGCTTTCATTGTTTTTAAATGTCGCATTAAAATCCCTAATGAGTTATTAAATATAAATCTATTTAAAAAAATCAATGTTCAGTCCTTCCACCAAGCCATTTTTTGTCTAAAATATGTCTAATAGACGTCCAAATGCAGGCAGTGTTTGTTGAGGACACCAAAAACAAACACAAAATACAGTGAAAATCTAATAGACGTTTAACAATAGTGCAAAAAGGTCATAAAATAGACCAATTAGACACAATTCACAAGTGTAATCAGCTATTCCTGTGTATTTGATGCCTATTTTTGGACTGTTGTTAGAAGTTTATTAGATTGTTTTAGCCATGACGTCTATTAGACATAATTTAAACATGAAAATGCCTGCCAGGCTTTGTCCTTTGCATTCAATTTAAAAGCGAAGTGCATTTAGTGCATTCAAAGGTGTTAAAAACACCAAAAGACTGCAGATTACAGATAAAAATGTTGTAAATAATGTTCAGCTTCTTGCACGAATTGAAAAGTCAGGAGATGCAGGTTTTTATGTTAAGCTCAGATTGTGATGCTACCATTGACTTGCATTATAAATCAGCAAGGATCACACGTTCTGCTGGAGAAAAAACGATCACCTACATCTTAAATCATAAATGGCCTGAAGGTAAGAACATTAACAGCAATTTTTCATTTTTAGTTTAAACTGTCCCTTAAACAGTTCCTTGTAGAGCATTTGGAAAGGAAAATAGTTAAATACAGTGTCCGAATCTGTAAAAGCAGGACAAATGCTTTTCATAAAGTGAAGCTTGTATTTTGCTTCAACAATGAAATCTTGTTTTGTTTTGTTTTGTGTGAAATTAGCAGTGAATCGAATGTAAATCAATAGCATACAAGTTTTATTGTGGAAATGTGAACAAATTAAGGCAAGTTCTACTTTTTTTTCTCTCCCACTTTATACTTATATAGTATGATACAAATTTGACCTATTTTAATTCAACATAACCATATCATTATTTAGTTTTGTCAAATTACATTTATGAAATAAGATTAAGCACAGAAAAAGGATGCACTTTTTCCCATGTACCCCATGGGATGACTATGGTAAAACTGACTCCTGTGTAGTATGTATTTCCTATTAAACCAACTTGTTTTCTAAGGGGTGAGGTTTTATTTTTTGTATTCCTCCCTTTTCACTATTAGCAAACTAATGGTTGGAGGGGCGTAGCTAAGCATATTTTATTTAATACAGAATTAAACTATATGTAAATGCTCAAATAGGGAAATCAAACAGTTACTTTCATTAAACAAACAGTTGGAAGTATGCAGTTAAATAGTTTTATGAATAAACTCAACACTGAACTAAAAAAAAAAGTCAACCTATCTTACAATTTTAACTATTTGTAAGTTGGATTTCATTTTTGTAAAATAGCCATTCATTTCTAGTTGTTGTCACAGTCACAGCCAAATCTATAAAAGCTTTATGAATCATCCAGCTCTGTTTTATGACTGACCTTGGTAGTAATGCCAAGAGAGGCTCCGTTGTCCAGCAGGATGGATGCCACGTCTTTGTGGCCGTCCCGTGCAGCCAGGTGCAGTGGCGTGTATCCAGACGTGGTGGTGGAGTCGGGTAAAGCCCCATGCTGCAGCAGTTGCTGGACAATGTCTGGTTTTCCCAGACGACTGGATATATGCAACGGGGTCTGATCGTCCTATAAACACACACACACACATAAATATAAGACATTTTGCTCTTGTTTTCCTTTATTGAGGTTGTAAAATGTACTAAACTAGTTAAGAGAAATCAAGAGTGTTGCTACACTGCTCAGCATAACTGAGTACAGCCCATTTTGAAAAGTAATATTTTTATCAATTTCTCTGTGAATATAGGCAATGTATTTTGGTGATTTTCAACAGATTTATTAAACAGATATATTTATTAAATTAATATTTTAGTCACCAAACCAGTCACGTGCACACATAGGGCTCAACCTGTGCAGTGCACATGCCCTTTTTAGTCTTGGGCATGTGCCCAAGTCACTTTAGTCTCTTTAGTCTCTAATTTTCTGCTTTTCTTGATTCTTCCTCTTTTTAAATTTGTATTAATTATTATTATATTATATAAAATTATAAATTCACAGATAATAATTTAGTTTGCCTGTGTATGTTTTTTTTCTTTCTTGTTTCTTGTTATATAATTATTATTATGAATTTGGATACGCTAGTTTTCGGACCGTTATCATAACTTATTTTGTTAGATAAGCTCCAGATTTGGCTTCAGTACTGACTATATGCACAACTATGTAATATTGTATAGCTTCCTTCTGATAAGCCCCACATACTTCTTGCAAAATAGGTGTGCTTCACACAGGTGAGTGGGCTTGACAAACCACCTGTAAGGCTACGTTTACACTGCAGACAAATGTGGCCCGAATCAAATTTTTCTCCCCACGTGTGACTCGGGTAATGACAGTGTGAACAGTCCAAACCGCATGGAATCTGATCTTTTCACTTCAGATTTGTGCCACTTGCATTTGTAGAATTAAATCAGACACAGATCTGGGGCCTCATGTATCAATGCTGCGTACACACAAAAACTTAGCGTACGCCAGGTTTCACGCTCAGAATCGCTCACGTTTGGATTTACTAACTATGAACTGAACGTGGGAATGTGCGCAGCTTCACGGCAGCTTTATGGCTGGCGTACGCACATTTTTTGTGTGTGTGTGTTTTATTTCCATTGGCGACTCCTAGAGGCAGTTGTGTTAAATTGCTCTCTACAAAGTGTCTGAGCCTTGCAATGGCAGCTGTACGAGACGGGTTCATCTAGCAGGTATATAAGGTTTCCAAACCGTACAGTTGACCAGCCAAACATTAAAGCACAATTTGCAGCGGTCGCCTGTTTTCCCAATGTAATCTGAGCGATCTACTGCACACACATTCCTATAAAGACACTATCTGAAGATGAATTTGCATGCGTGAATCAGAAACATTTCCATTCAATAAATGTGCAAATAAAATATGATGTACAAACTTATTAATGATTCCTACTTGTCTTTCTCGTGATAAATAGTTGGCAAAATCTGATATGTAGCGGGGGAATAAAGAAAAAAGAGTTCATTAGACGCTGGATTCGAACCGAGTTCATGCTCGAACGTGTCAAAACATGTTAACATGCGTCTTACAAGCTGCGCCACTGAGACTGTTAAGATTGCTGCAACATTTTACACCTATAAATCACACTATTACTTTTTTAATTCACTCAGTGCAATGTTCAGACCCAACTGTGTTAACCGCATCAGCTAAACTCTCTATTTTTATCTTCTGTTGTTAATTCCAGAGAACAAACTTGCAAATAACACCGCTTTTCTCCGGTCTACCTCCGAAAGCAGCACCTCCAATTCACATTCTGTTCAAAGTTTCTCTTCTTGCTTGCTTTTGCCGTTGCTTTTTCGTTGGGTTTTGCCATAAGTAGAGTCATTAGCATATTCATACGGGGGAGGAGGCAGGGAGGGGTTTTGTGCTCGTGCATGTTGCGCTCAGTTTCACGTTCATTCGGATGTACAAAAGAATATGCGTGAGATTTGGCGTACGCAGTGTTTCATACATCTGAATTTTTTTCTGCGTACACACATTTACAGCTTTGTGCGTATGCAATGTTTTAGTATAATTTCCACGCAAGTCTTCGTACATGAGGCCCCTGATGGTCTGAAATGCGACCGCAATGACATTGGTTATGTCGAATTTCATGTGACTTTCATGCGTAATCATTCTGTGCTTCAAACATTCTCTACTCCTCAGCTGCACAGAAGAATGGCGCACAGGTTGATTACTTTACCACAGAAAGTTCGTTTTTCATTTAGAAAAATATTTTGAAGGCAAAACTGGTGCTTGTTAACCAACCTGAGTAACGATTGAGGCATGGGTTGATCGCGAAGCTAAAGAGCATTGTGGGTGTTGCGGATAGGGGATCCGTGCAGCACTTTCATTTTAAGGGGGAACTTTCTCTCTAAGAGAAAAAAAGGGCAGGTGCTCGAGCACCCAAACCACCTTCTGCATGTGCCTGATGTTTATAATGAAGTAAAATGAAATAACTCTGCAAACAGACATAAAGCAACTCCGCCTTCACAGTTCAATCTGTGGCTGCTCATTAAACCCCTGATGAGTTGGGGTGGTCGGACAGATGCACACCACGGTTGTCATAAATCACAAATGATCAATGTTTTCGATCAGAAAAGTTATTTTAGGTTTCAAATGGCAAAATAAACATTAGCAGTAGCAGAACAACCCTTTACACTTCATTTCAGGAATAAACCAAGGTTGTCTGTGAAAAGGGTAACAATCATATAAGCATAATCTGACAACGTGCTTCATACAGTACACTCATTGTGTGCATAATTAGAATTTTTTTGCTGTCCGCAATTGTACTTTTGCGCATGCGAGTCAGTTTCGGACCATGATCTGTTCACACTGCAAATCTGATATTGGCCAACCCTCTCAAGGCAGGCGTTGCAGATTTGCAACAGTTAAAAATTACCTACCTTATTACTCCAGCTACATATTTTATGAGTTTTTTTTACTCAGAAGTACCACTGCAGGACTTGGTTGTCCATTAGCAACAACCAGTTTCCTCACTTGCTCACCAGATGACACAAAAGACAAAAACTGTTTCTTGGAGAACCACATGACAAAGTGACTTGGAAACATGACCTACTCAATGAGGATTTGAGATATTGGATTTGGATCCCATATCGTTTTTGCTGTTGTTCTGCCACAGAAAAGCAATTTGTTACATTGTTTGAAAAGTTGTATATAAAAAGTTATTGTTCATATCATATTCAGCCGTCAGTGTCTAATTACCACACTGGGCCGATGTTGCAAATCTGATTGTGATAATTGACTGCAGGTGATGTGTAGAGCTGTTTGACTATTTCTGGAGGACTTCCATTTGCAACGCTTTACCTGATGAAGACCATGTCGGTCGAAACGTTGTGATTTTGTGATATTGACATTAAAAATTTTTTTGAGAGCTAAAGTGGCAGTGTGCCGATTTACTTTAATTATTTTGCTACTAATGTTTGTTTTTTGATCGTGCACCTGCCTTCAAGATTTTCTAGATGTGAGCACATTTCTGATTTTTGCAAATCTGCAACATCACAGAACGCCTTGCATGTGAAGGTCTCTTTAAAAAAAAAAAGTCAGGATTCTATTATACTACCCCATATGATTAATTTCCCCAAATATCTGATTTTTCCTGTTTCTAAATCTTAATTAAAGCCTGAGAGGGTTATAACTGCAGTGTTAACAGCCATTTTCTCAGATCTGAGTAAATCAAATTTGAGCACTAAGCTTTGCAGTGTGAACGTAGCCTAAGTGACCTTTTCTCTTTATATGCTTGAAGAAAAAAAAAAAAACGAACAAACATAAAACAGCTCAATTGTTTTAACTAACTTAAACTTGCCATACTGTAGCATTTACATACAGCAACCCTCTGATGGTTTAAAGTGCTTTGTTTATCCTGACTTGTAAGTCGCTGTGGATAAAAGCTAATTAATAAATATAAATATATTTTTGTTTCAAGTAAAAACAGCCCATGCTTGATATCACTATGATATTCTAGTAAAAAAACAGGCAGGTCTAATATCTCAAAGGTAAAAAGCATCTCTTTTAAACAAACTACATGATTTTGAATAGGGCCTGGTGTGCTTTTTACACTGTGTTACTTCTTTTTACTGTGTTGCTTTTTGAGCATGAACAAATTTTGAAAAGTTGCAAAACTCAAACTTCACAAACGCACTCAAAAACTTTAGTATCTATATCAGTATGCCCTGTTTCTGAACTCCCTCAAGTGGCTTATTTGTAGCCCTGAGTTTTCTTCTGGAAACGTGCACATCACAACATCCTGACTATCCTGCCCAAGGCAGGCCCGAGGAGGTGAGGGTAAAGAATCCGAAAAAAAGTTTGAATGCACAGACAATGCGCCATCTTTCTGTGCACATACGTTCTGTGTGCTTACAAAAAGTATAACCAGGCAAAGCCTTAAAATGCATGCAGATGTGTTGTGTGATGTTTCCAGAGTAACTGAAGCACAAGCTGTAAAGACACGGAAACAGTAGCTCATTTGCATTTAAAAACACACACACACTCACACACATAAAAACAGCATGTTATAATTAATAACCTTGACTTATTTTGAACTCAATGTTCTCTAACACATTTTTGTGACATGAGAGTTATAATACAACTCATTAAACAGACAGCTTAATGCAAAGTCTTTAAAGAGATTCGCCCAAAATTTGTATTTGTCATCATTTACTCACCTTTGATTTCGTCCAAACCATTCATTTATTCATTTTTTTCCCCGGCTTAGTTCCTTCATTAATCAGGGGTCGCCACTGCCAACTTATCCAGCATATGTTTTAAGCAGCGGATGCCCTTCCAGCTGCAACCCATCACTGGGAAACGTCCATACACACTCATTCACACACATACAACCGACAATTTAGCTTTCCCAATTCACATGTCTTTGGACAAACCAGAGCACCCAGAGGAAACCCACACGAACACACTGGGAGAACATGCAAACTCCACACAGAAATGCTAACTGACCCAGCTGAGGCTCGAACCAGCGACCTTCTTGCTGTGAGGCAACAGCACTATCTACTACGCCACCGCGTCACCTCATCCAAATTATTAAACTTTGACTTCAACATTATTTGTTTTCCTACTTTGGATGTCAGTGTTTACAGTTTTCCAAAATTCTTCAGTGTATCTTCTTTAGTGTTGACCGGAACAAAATAAAATAACAACCTCAAACTGGTTTGGAACAAACCATAGGTGAGTAAATGATGACAGAATTATGATTTTTTTGGTGAACTATATATTTTTAAGATGTTAATCACCAGTTTGTTGATAACTTTATAGTTTAAGGTTTTGTTCTAATGGTTAGCCCTAACCTGAGAAAAGGTATCAGAAATCATCTCTTAATAATGCCACCCCTTTAAAGGGATAGTTCACCCAAAAAATCTAAATTATGTCATTATTTTCTCACCTTTGATTCATTCAAACCATTTGAGATTTATTGTTTTTCTTTTGAACACAAAATAAACATTTTAAAGAACGTTGGAAACCATTGACTTCCATAATATATGTTTTCCTACTAGAGATGTCAATGTTTACAACATTCTTCAGTATGTCTTGTTTTGTGTTCATCAGAACAAATAAAAACTCTAACTGTTTTGGAACAAACCAATGGTGAGTTAATGAACACAGAATTAATTTTTTGGTGAACTATCTCTTTAAGATATTAGTCACCAGTTTGTTGAGGCTTTGTTCTAATATTTAACCCTAACCTGATTAAAAGGATAATCCAAACCATTTGAGATTTATTTTTATTCTGTTAAACACAAAATAAGATATTTTGAAGAATGTTGGAAAACGGTAAACATTGACTTCATACTATTTGTTTTCCTACTATGGATGTCAGTGTTTACAGGTTTTCAAGATGCTTTAGTATATCTTCTTTTGTGTTCACAAGAACAAAAAATAACAACCTTAAGCTGGTTTGGAACAAACCACAGGAGATTAAATGATGACAGAATTTAAATGTTTTGGTGAACTACCCCTTTTAGATATTTAATACCAGTTTGTTGACAACTTTAAGGCTTTGTTTTAACCGTTAACCATAACCTGAGTAAAAGTATCAGGATAGTTCACCTAAAGATTTTAATTCTGTCATTATTAATTCACCTTTAATTCATCCAAACCATTTGAGATTTATTGTTGTTCAAGAGTTCACACTCAGCTGATGATTTTTAAAAGCTTGTTTGGCATGCTGTCCCGGGAGAGAGCCCCGAGCTCAAGGACTCCTCGAGTCCGGGGCTTCCTCCCGTTTGGCAGAGCGAGAGAGGAGCCCGAGCTCGGTGGATCTCAGAACTCCCCCGTTGCTGTAGCTAAGGGAACACAAGGGTTAGATAAATGCTTGGTTTTTTATGTATATTAAATGTCATTGAATGGTGGGAGGAAACCGGAGCACCCGGGGAAAACTGTGGTTATTTATAGTGGCTTAGGTCTTGAATGATTGGAAGATACTGATTAACAAATTCGAGACCAGCCGTGATAAATCATAAGCACGTGATCCTCCCGAAATTAGTTTATGAATAAACTTCACTTATGTTAAACACAAAAGAAGATATTTTGAAGAATGTTAGAAACCTGTAACCACTGACTTTTATGTGTTTTCCTACTATGAATGTCAATGGTTACAGGTTTCCAAAATTCTTAGTGTATCTTCTTTGTGTTGAACAGAACAAATAAAAACTCAAACTGGTTTGGGACAAGTCAAAGGTGAGTAAATGATGACAGAAATGAATTTTTTATTGGTGAACTATGCCTTTAAGTTACCAGTTTGTTGATCAGAACTCAGCTCTTCATAATGTCACCCTTTTAAAGTGGTAGTTCATACAAAAATCAAAACGATGTCATAATTAACTCACCTTTGACTTCATCCAAACCATTTGAGATTTATTTTTATTCTGTTGAGCACAAAAGAAGATATTTTGAAGAATGTTGGAAACCTGTAACCGTTAACTTCAATATGATTTGTTTTCCTACAATGCATGTCAATGTTTACAGGTTTTCAAGATTCTTCAGCATATCTAACCAGAACAAAATAAAAAAACAACCTCAAACTAGTTTAAAACAAGCCGAAGGTGAGTAAATAACGACAGAATTGAATTGCTTTGGTGAACTGTCCCCTTAAGCTTTTGTTGACAACTTTAATACTAAGAGTTAAGGTTTTGTTCTAACCATTTAACCCTAACCTGAGCAAAAGTATCAGCACCCGTCAATAGCCTAGTGGTACTGTGTGCCGACATATAGCACCGATGTGCTCACAGCGACCAGAGTTCGATTCCCGGCTTGAGGTCCTTTGCCGATCCTTCCCCTCTCTCTGCTCCAAATGCTTTCCTGTCTAAAAATCTCTACTCTCCTATCATAATAAAGGTGAAAAACCCCTAAAAAAATAATTATAAAAAGTATCAGCACTCATCTTTTCAAACAGCACTAATCTCTCACTCACCTTGGCTTTTGCGTCCACATCTGCTCCATTCGCCACCAGGAATTTCACCACGTTTGCCTGTCCTGCCCTGGCAGCCATATGGAGCGCCGTCTCTCCCCTCTAAAAACACACACAGAGGAAGCTTCTGGAAAAAAAGGTACTACTGTGTTTGGACAGTAAGCCTTTGTGTGTGTGTGTCCCTGTGTGTGCACAGTCCTTTCATCAAACCCAGCCCCTCTGCCCAAACTCTCTTTGTTTTGACTGTCTCAATGAGCTGCACCCCAACAAAGCCTGAAGCGTGTTTCTACAGTAACAGTGGCTCGCTGTCTGTCTGATGGGGAACAGTCGAGCATGATTACAGTCTGACTGTACTCTAATTACAGTAGACCGAGGAGCTCCAACCTGTGGTCAGACGTATGTTTAAGCACACGGATGGAGGCTGTTATTACCCTAAAAGGCTTTATGAAATATGAGACTAAACCAATGGCACGTTCCACAGAGGAGCGCGGCTGAAATGTTTTTGTTTGACTATTTTTTTTGTTCATTATCAAAAAGGAAAACTGTTTGTTTGGTGTTGGCGGGGTTGGGGATGGTTGTACTCACCACATTCATTGTGTTAGGAGACGCTCCGTGATTTGTTAACTGAGTCACAATGTTTTCATGGCCCATAAAAGCAGCCACATGAATCGGCGTGAGTCCAGACTGCAAGAGACGCAGAAAAATGCAGCTTTGAAGCAATGCAAACTCAATGCTGAATATTACCGCATTTCAAACACACACACACTCATATTGTTCCTCATAAAAAAAGCATCAGTTTTGATTGGAAATGTTGAAAGAGAGCTATTTATAGACGCCAGACTCTGCTTTAGATTAAAAGTAAGTTTATACTGTTGCATTTGTCAAATATACATTTAAGAATTACAAGAAACTGCAAAATAATAAATAAATTAAGTGTAAAATGTAAAAATACACTGTAAACATTGATTAGTTGAAAAGTGAATAAACCTGTTGCTTTTAAAGTGATTTGTTAATTGTACTTAAAGTAAACACGTTCATTTTTAATTAATAATTAAAAGGCAACAGGTTTGCTCATTTTTTATGAAAAGATTTGATTGAAAATGTTGATGGTGTGTAATTTATGGACAGAATAAGTTTATACTTTCATATTTGTCAAATATACATTTAAGCATTACAAGAAACAGCAAAAAACAATTTAAATCAAGTGTAAAATGTGAAAATACACTGTAAACATTGATTAGTTGACTAAAAAAGTGAATAAACCTGTTGCTTTTAAAGTAATTTGTTGATTGTACTTAGAGTAAACATGTTCATTTTTAATTAATAATTAAAAGTCAACAGGTTTGCTCACTTTTTATGAAAAGATTTGATTGAAAATGTTGATGGTGTGTTATTTATGGACAGAATAAGTTTATACTTTCATATTTGTTAAATATACATTTGAGAATTACATGAAACTGCAAAACTAAAAAAAGTGTAAAATGTGAAGATACACTGTAAAAAATTATTAATTTACTTTAAAAAAAAAAGTGAGTAAACCTCTTGCTTTGAAAGTGATTTGTTGACTGTACTTAGAGTAAACATGGTTATTTTAATTATTAATTTAAGGCAACAGGTTTACTCATTTTTTGATGTAAAGATTTATTTGAAAGTGTTGAAGGTGTGCTACTTATGGAACCCAAATTCTGCTTTAGATTAAAGATAAGTTTATACTGTCACATTTGTCAAATATACATTTGAGAATTACAAAAAAAAGTGAAGTGTAAAATGCGAAGATACACTGTAAAAAATTGATGAGATGATTAAAACAGTGAGTAAACCTGTTGCTTTTGAAGTGATTTGTTAATTGTACTTAAATAAACACATTCATTTTTAATTAATAATTAAAAGGCAACAGGTTTATGCATGGTTCAGGATCTGTAGAGCTACACATCGATGAATTTGCTCTTCAGTGTTTGTACTCTCAGTAAATGACTTTAAACCACACTGAACTGAGCTAAACTGAACTGAACTTAAACACTAAAAACTGAACTACCCTGATCCAGTTACTATGACCATTTATGTGAAGCTGCTTTGACACAATATACATTGTAAAAGCGCTATACAAATAAAGCTGAACTGAATTAAAGTTTTCTAATTTTTTTATGTAAAGATTTGTTTGAAAATGTTGATGGGGTTTTAGCAGATTCTGCTTTAGATTAAAGATAAGTTTATACTTATCTATTTGTCAAACATACGTTTGAGAATTACAAGAAACTGCAAAACAAAAAAACTCAAGTGTAAAATGTGAAAATACACTGTAAACATTGATTAGTTCACTTTTAAAAAGTGAGTAAACATGTTGCTTTTAAAGTGATTTGTTGATTGTACTTAAAGTAAACACGTTCATTTTAATTAATAATTTAAGGCAACAGATTTAATCATTCTTTTATGTAAAGATTTGATTGAAAATGTTGATGTTGTGCTACTTATGGAACCCAGATTCTGCTTTAGATTAAAGATAAGTTTATATGGTCAAATTTGTTAAAATATACATTTGAGAATTACAAGAAACTGCAAAACTAAAAAAGTCAAGTGTAAAATGTGAAGATACACTGTAAAAAAATATTAATTTACTTTAAAAAAGTGAGTAAACCTTTTGCTTTGAAAGTGATTTGTTGACTGTACATACAATAAGAGAGTGAACCCATGGACTATTCATTAAAATGAACGTGTTTACTTTAAGTAAAGATTTGATGGAAAATGTTGACAAAGTGTTATTTATGGAAGCCAGAATCTGCTTCGGAGTACAGATAATTATTGTATTATATTAATTATAATTATTATATTAATAATTTAAGGCAACAGATTTACTCATTTTTTACAGCAAGATTTATTTGAAATTGTTGATGGAGTGCTACTTATGGAATCCAGATTCTGCTTTAGATTAAAAATAAGTTTATACAGTCACATTTGTCAAATATACATTTGAGAATTACAAGAAAATACCCAAAAAAAAATCATGTGTGAAATGTGAAGACACACTGTAAAAATTGATTAGATGATTAAGAAAGTAAGTAAACCAGTTGCTTTGAAAGTGATTTGTTGACTACTTAAAAAATGAGAAAACTCATGGACTTAAAATGAAATTGTTTACTTTAAGTAAAGATTTGATGGAAAATGTTGACGGAGTGTTATTTATGGAAGCCAGAATCTGCTTCGGAGTACAGATAACTTTATATTGTTACATTTGTCAAATATACATTTGAGAATTACAAGAAACTGCAAAAATAAAAAAGGCAAGTGTAAAATGTGAAGATACATCGTCAACATTGATTATTTGACTAAAAAAAGCTAGTAAACCTGATGCTTTTAAAGTGATTTGTTGATTGTACTTAAAGTAAACACTTTCATTTTAATTAATAATTTAAGGCAACAGATTTAATCATTTTTTACAGCAAGATTTATTTGAAATTGTTGATGGAGTGCTACTTATGGAATCCAGATTCTGCTTTAGATTAAAAATAAGTTTATACAGTCACATTTGTCAAATATACATTTGAGAATTACAAGAAAATACCCAAAAAAAAATCATGTGTGAAATGTGAAGACACACTGTAAAAATTGATTAGATGATTAAGAAAGTGAGTAAACCAGTTGCTTTGAAAGTGATTTGTTGACTACTTAAAAAATGAGAAAACTCATGGACTTAAAATGAAATTGTTTACTTTAAGTAAAGATTTGATGGAAAATGTTGACGGAGTGTTATTTATGGAAGCCAGAATCTGCTTCGGAGTACAGATAACTTTATATTGTTACATTTGTCAAATATACATTTGAGAATTACAAGAAACTGCAAAAATAAAAAAGGCAAGTGTAAAATGTGAAGATACATCGTCAACATTGATTATTTGACTAAAAAAAGCTAGTAAACCTGATGCTTTTAAAGTGATTTGTTGATTGTACTTAAAGTAAACACTTTCATTTTAATTAATAATTTAAGGCAACAGGTTTACACATTTTTTTAATGTAAAGATTTGATTGAAAATGTTGATGTTGTGCTACTTATGGAATCCAGATTCTGCTTTAGATTAAAAATAAGTTTATACAGTCACATTTGTCAAATATGCATTTGAGAATTAAAAGAAAATACCAAAAAAAATCATGTGTGAAATGTGAAGACACGCTGTAAAAATTGATTAGATGATTAAGAAAGTAAGTAAACCAGTTGCTTTGAAAGTGATTTGTTGACTACTTAAAAAATGTGTAAACTCATGGACTTAAAATGAACGTGTTTACTTTAAGTAAAGATTTGATTGAAAATGTTGGAGTGCTATTTTTGTTAATACTGACACATCTGTCAAATCCAATTGAAGAATTGCAAGAAACTACTAAGGAAAAAAAAACTACACTGTAAACATTGATTAGTCGACTTTAAAAAAAGTGAGTAAACCTGTTGCTTTTAAAGTGGTTTGTTAATCGTACTCAAAGTAAACACGTTAATTTTAATGAACAATTTTAAGGCAACAGGTTTACACATTTTTTTAATGTAAAGATTTGATTGAAAATGTAGACGGGGTGCTATTTATGGAAAGCAGTGAAATATAAGCTGCAAATAGTTTTGTTGATGTGCAAAAAACGAAATGTACAGAAGAAAAAAAAAACATTTACATTAGGAATGCAGGAAACTTCAAAACCTTATCAACTTGGCTTAAAAACAATAATGAAAAAGCATTCATATTTTGCAGAACTGCTCAAATGACATTAAAACCTCTGAGAAATGCAACCCGACTGTTCTCAAGACTCTTCACACTTTATTAGTTTCTTTTGTAATAAATGATGTCCTGAAAAGTGAGTGAGACCAACCTCCCTCCATTTATTACAGTTGCTATGAGCCTGGTGTGCACAGACAACCAATATCTCTTACAAAAGCCTAAGCAAACTTTCTTACATTCAGTGTTATTAAACGGTAAACAGTTGGGTTTAGGGTTGGGGTAGGAGTAGACATAAAAAAAATACAATTTGTTGGGTAATTTAATAGATGATATTAATAATACTCGATAGACCTACTGTTACATTACTTTGACGGTTGGGTTTAGGGTTAGGGTGAGCATAGACGTTAAAAAAAAATTGGGTAATTTAATAGATGATATAAATAATACTCGATAGACCTACTGTTACATTACTATGAAGGTTGGGTTTAGGGTTGGGGTAGGGGTAGACGTTAATAAAATACAATAAATGGGAAATTTAATAAATAATATGAATAATTCTTGTTTACTTCCAGCGCAACTGTAACTGATCTAGAAACAACCCTTAAATTTGACATTAAAACCTCTGAGAAATGCAACCCAACTGTTCTCAAGACAATGCTCTTCACACTTTATTATTTTCTTTTGTAATAAATGATGTCCTGAAAAGTGAGTGAGACCAACCTCCCTCCATTTATTACAGTTGCTATGAGCCTGGTTTCCACAGAAAACCAATATCTCTTACAAAAGCCTGAGCAAACTTTCCTACATTCAGTGTTATTAAACGGTAAACAGTTGGGTTTAGGGTTGGGGTAGGAGTAGACGTAAAAAAAAAAACAATTTATTGGGTAATTTAATAGATGATATTAATAATACTCGATAGACCTACTGTTTTTACATTACTTTGACGGTTGGGTTTAGGGTTAGGGTGAGCATAGACGTTAAAAAAAAATTGGGTAATTTAATAGATGATATTAATAACACAGCTACAGCTACTCTTTTTACATTACTATGAAGGATGGGTTTAGGGTTGGGGTAGGGGTAGACGTTAATAAAATACAACAAATGGGAAATTTAATAAATAATATGAATAATTCTCGTTAACTTTCAGCCGCAACGGTAACTGATCTAGAAACAACCCTTAAATTTGACATTAAAACCTCTGAGAAATGCAACCTAACTGTTCTCAAGACAATGCTCTTCACACTTTATTATTTTCTTTTGTAATAAATGATGTCCTGAAAAGTGAGTGAGACCAACCTCCCTCCATTTATCACAGTTGCTATGAGCCTGGTGTCCACAGACAACCAATATCTCTTACAAAAGCCTGAGCAAACTATCCTACATCCAGTGTTATTTCACGTTCAAGCAAACTCTCTCTCTACTCACCTCAGTCACAGCCTGAATGGACGCTCCGTGTTTCAGCAGCAGCTCCATCACTTTAATCCTGTTCTTCTTGCAAGCGATGTGAAGTGGTGTAAAACCATTCTACAAAAAAAAAAAACAAGGGTATTTTTACTCCAGCTTACTACTGAAAGTCTGCTTGTGCTTTGACCATAACCAGATGACTGAAGAGTTAAGAAAGCTTTGTTTCCAGACGAATGAAAACACGTGGCTCCTGCTGCTCGATGCTTGGCAGACTTCTTGTCTTTCTACAGTTTTCTTTCTTTCTTCCTTTTTTTCCCTCATAAACTGCTGCGACACGCCCGCTCTCTAACCGTTACTTCAGAGCATGACAGTATGCGTGCTCTGTGCCAAGAGTGGCTTTTTACGGATCGCCATGGCACTGTGCGTAAACAAACATGCTACATGTTATAACTTTCCAATCTGAGTGTGCAGATATTATCATTTTGGCAACAGCATCTAATATGAAAGCCAAAGAAAAAAATAAGGGGTATTTTAAATTTGTACAATACTTTTTTCTTTAAAAAATGTAAATAATGTAAGTTCTGTGGTCCTTAATCAACATTCATTTGTTTAAAACATCTGTCAGTCAATCACACTTTGGACTACAACAATATCAGACGATCGATTCATTTTGAACACACACTCATACACTACAGCTGATTTCACTGGTTCATTCATTTTCTTTTCGGCTTAGTCTCTTTATTAATCTGGGGTCGCCACAGCGGAATGAACCGCCAGCTTATCCAGCAAATGGTTCACGCAGCGGATGCCCTTCCAGCCACAACACATCTCTGGGAAACATCCATACACACAATTTAGCATACCCAATTCACCTGTACTGCATGTCTTTGGACTCTGAGGGAAACCGGAGCACCCAGAGGAAACCCACGCGAACGCAGGGAGAACATGCAAACTCCACACAGAAACGCCAACTGACCCAGTCAAGGCTCGAACCAGCGACCTCGAACCTACCTACTGCGCCACTGAGTCACCGTATAGCTGATTTAGTTTATTCAATTCACTTGTAGCACATGTCTTTGTCTGGGTGTTGTCCCATTTTTAGGGGTAAAATTTTAAGCCCACCCCCCCCCCCCTTCACACTCTGTATCAAGAGCCAAGGGGAAGGGGTACAAAAATAGAATTTGAATTGGGCCTAAATGCAAAAGGTGCATTGATGAAATAAGGAAGAAATAATTTACAGTAGCAGTTGGGGACATAACATTACAGAAGTGGATAACAAAATCTGAATTAGATCCTACTTTTGTACATAAGACTCACCAGTGCTTTGGCATTCGGATTGGCCCTCTTGTCCACTAGGACCTTGGCGACTTTGTAGTGTCCGCAATGTGCAGCGACGTGCAAGGCTGTCAGGTAATCGTTGGTGACGTCGTCCACAGGCACCTCATGATGAATCAAGAGCTGGACGCAGTTCAGATGATCTCCCTGCGTGGCCATGTGCAGCGGCGACAAGCCATTCTGTTGAAACACACGGCAGTTTAAGATATGACGAAATCAAATAACTGAATGACTTTCACTTCTCTATTTTTCTGGCATCTTAGGAATCACAGATGGACCGAATATAAACCAGTTTATCACCCCTCTACAGGGTTTCTACACATTTATACTACTAAAATTACAGGACTTTTCCAAAACGTTCAGGTAAATATTGATGAATAGGCCCACATGGAATCTGCACGCACAGATTTTTTGCCCATCATTGAGTCTATTTGTGTAAATGTGTGTAAATACTGTATATATTTATTCAGTTTTTAAATTGATATCAGTAATATTATTGACTAATATGAAAATGTTTATTCGATTTATTTACAATACAGTTTAGTAGATATATTATATGAGAGAATTGCTTTGTTTACGAATAAGTGGATCTAATTGGGCTTGCATTGTAAACATTAAATAAAAGTTAAAATGGTGTTATTTTTTATTTCATATATTAAGTTTTTACTCACGATACTCCCAAAATCATCCCGCATAAATCTGTGGATTTTATACAAAATTTTGAGTAGAATTAGCAAAAAAAAAAGATTCTGGCAACTTTATCATTCATTCATTAATTTTCATGTCGGCTTAGTCCCTTTATTAATCCGGGGTCGCCACAGTGGACTGAACCGCCAACTTATCCAGTAGGTTTTTACGCAGCGGATGCCCTTCATCTCTGGGAAACATCCACACACACATTCACACACACTCATACACTACGATCAATTTAGCCTATCCAATTCACCTGTACCCAGGGCCGGCGCATCCATAGAGGCGACCTAGGCAGCCGCCTAGGGCGGCAGTATAGAGAGGGCGTCGTCTGTGACACATCCCTAACCACCTGCGTCCTCAGTTATGTCCGCGACACCTCCCTCACCACCCGCTTACTCAGGTATATTTGCGCATAGACGATAGAATAGAGAGGGTGGCGTCAGCGTCACCTCCATCAGCACCAGCGTGTCCTCAGTTATATCCGCGCATAGGGCGGCAGAATTGAGGTCCACGACACCTGCACGTCCTCAGTTATATCCGCGCATAGGGCGGCAGAATAAAGAGCGCAATGTCCGCGACACCTCACTCCCTCAGCACTTGCGCGTCCTCAGTTATATCCACGCATAGGGCAGCAGAATAGAGAGGGCGGTGTCCGCCAGTCCGCGACACCTCCCTCCCTCCCTCAGCACCCGCGCGTCCTCAGTTATATCCGCGCATAGAGCGCCGGAAAAAAGGTCCGCGACACTTCACTTCATTTTCATAACCGGTCACTTTCGTTTTCACATTGGGGTTGAGGGCGGCATGATCGTCCTCTGCCTAGAGCGGCAGTTCAGCTTGCTCCGGCCCTGCCTGTACCTCATGTCTTTGGACTGTGGGGAAAACCGGAGAACCCGGAGGAAACCCACGCGAAGGCAGGGAGAACATGCAAACTCCACACAGAAACGCCAACTTGAGCCGAGGTTCAAACCAGCGACCCAGCGACTTTCTTGCTGTGAGGCGACAGCACTACCTACTGCGCCACTGCCTCGCCTTACTGGAACTTTAAATAGTCCATTTCCCACTAACATTTGAGCGGTCAACAGAAATGACTTAAGACTGGCCATAAAGGTCATCAGTTCACCAAACTCATTGCTGTTTACTCAGTGTAACCACAGATACAGGGACACTGGAGCAGTTTAAAGCATCAGCGGATCGCTCGTATGTCAGCTTATAAATAGACCAGCTGATCTTCGTGACTTTAAAACGCCCCAGTGCCGCTGTATATGTGGTTACTCAGTAAACAGATCTGAGTAAGGTGACCTTCACGGACAATCACAGTCAATTCTGTTGAGCACTGGTGAATACGATGGCAAATCAGCAGAGTTGAAGAACGGGCTCAACAGCGCTCAAATGGTAAAATCTTCAGTACTGATTGATATCGAATTCCAGTATCGTGACAACACTACGCCCTATTCTTGAGCTAATGTTTCATGAAATCTTTACGTGCGCATGGTAAATAAAAAAATTTTAAAATTGTATGTATATTTTAAAATATGAGGCAATCTAGTAGTTTGGTTATTTTTCTATCACTAAAATAGTTTTTAGAAAGTATCTTGCTGTCTGTGTGAAAATATTTTTGAATTATTGGCTTGTGTTTTCATAAGACTTACTGTATATGAATAATACAAATTAGCTTTTAGCACTCACAGTATCTTACTCCTGTAGATAGAGATTGTTTCTGGCGACCACACTCAAAACGTAGCTTGAATTACGATGAATGTGAGTAAAAGAGAGGGAAAGCTGAAACTGAGAGTTGCTTTTTTACCCCACACAGAGAACGTCACGTGAAGAGACTAACCGCACAATTGTATTTAAACTTTACCCAATATTATCATCTCAAATACACTACCTGACAGAAGTCTTGCCGCCTATCCAAGTTTTAGAAACAACAAATAATAAATTGACTTCTAGTTGATCATTTGGTATCAAAACTGGCTTATATGTAAGGCAAAGGCCTCTAGATTATGCTTATTTCACCTAAATAAAATATGATCATTCCTTGATTTTTTTATATTTAATTAGAGCAGTGAAGTCTGACTTTGCTTAGACAGAAATAATGTCTAGTATAGAATATAAAGTCATGGTGAGGTGGAAAAATAATTAATATTGTGTCTGACACCCATGAGCTTGGAGAACTGCATCCATACATCTCTGCAATGACTCAAATAACTTATAGAGTTTAAAGAATGTGTTCTTGCAGGACTCCCAGTTCATCAAGATTCTTTGGATTCATCTTCAATGCCTCCTCCTTCGTCTAATCCAAGACATGCTCAATAATGTTAATTTTTGGTGACTGTGCTGGCCAATCCTGGAGCACCTTGACCTTCTTTGCTATCAGGATCTTTGATGTGGAGGCTGAAGTATGAGAAGAAGCGCTATCCTGCTGAATAATTTGCCCTCTTCTATTTGTGGTTTGTAATGTAATGTGCAGCACAAATGTCTTGACACCTCAGGCTGTTGATGTTGCTATCCACTCTGCAGATCTCTCGCATGCCCCCATACTGAATGTAACCCCAAACCATGATTTTTCCTTCATCAAACTTGACTGATTTCTATGAGATTCTTGAGTCCATGCGGGTTTCAGTAGGTCTTCTGCAATATTTGTGATGATTGGGATGCAGTTCAACACATAATTCAAAGGAAAAACCTTACCTTCTGCCACTTTTAGTAATAATCAACTAAGTCAAGTTATTATTTGTTGCTCTTACAACTAGGATCGATGACAAGACTTTTGTCAGGCAATATATATTTATGTACACAGATTTTTTTTAAACAAATGTTCATGACATGTTCCAAAACATTTTGAGTTTATTTGTTTTTGCCTCGTCAAAATTCCATGACTTCTCCAGAATCGCATGAATCCTGTCTTTAAGAATTCTGATAACATTCAAAGCAATAACATCCCCTTCAAAAAGAGGACATCTGGGGTAAAAGAACAGCATGAGGCCATTTATACGTCAATATTTGTATGAAAACAAGCGCTCTATTGTGACATTAATCGGCTTGGATATTATCTAATTTGGCGAGAGGTCTGTGAGCATGTTTTGCATTGCTTTTCAGATTCCAGGAAAGTGTTCGGTGATGCAATGGAAAAAAACTGAAGAAAAAGTGATAATGTCACATCTGCATACACTTAAAGGAACGGATGTCGATTAAAATGATGTCATTTACTCGCCATCTTGTCATTCCAAACCCATGTAACCCTTCCTAGAAAACAACACAAAAGTTGGGGTTTAAAAGCTGGATAATGACACTATTGCTTTTTGTAGAGCTGCTTTGTGGCTAAATCCAAGTAGTTTAATAATTGATGAACTTTAAAACGTCAACTGAATCAACATTGAACTGACTCCTTGAGCTGAATAATGACTCGGTTGCCTTAAGTATTGAACTTGTTCCATAATTTATTAACTTTGCAGTGTCACTGAACTGAACTGAATCAACACTGACCTGACTTTTGCAGCATACTATTGCTTTTGTAGATCTGCTTACAGCTGAAATTAACTCATTTCACAGCTGATGAACTTTGCAACATTGACCGTGTAATTTGAATCCACGCTGAAGTTGTCTGAGCTTAATAATGACAATATTATCTTCTATAAAGCTCTTTTATTGTTGAAAATTCTTCATAACTGATACATTTTGCAACATTAACACTGTTATTTAACTGCTAGTTATGGTTAAGCTGCACTGAATCAAAGGATTTGTAAAAAGTGTGACAAAAAGTAAAAAAAAGGCTGATTTTATACATAAAACACAATAAACAAACAAAACCATCAACAAAACAAAAAAGCTTTGTTTAGCTCACATATTCGCATTCATACTTATTCATACACACATATGGAAAAGAGAAGCAAGAACACTCATCAAAATATCTCCATTTGTGTTCTACAGAAGAACGCATGTCATAAAGGTTTGGATTGGCATTCAGGTGAGGAGACCATAGATATGTATACTAGGGTTGTCACGATACTGGCATTCGGTAGCAGTCAATACTGTAATTTTAAAAACGCTAATTTCTTGATAACATTTGACCACGTTGAGCTCGTTAAACATATGTTCATATGCTCAAAAGAAATGACTGGGATTGGCCATGAGGGTCATCAGTTCACCAAACTCACTACTGTTTACTGAGTGTAACCACAGATACAGGAACACTGGAGCATTTCAAAGTCACGTTGATCAGCTGGTTTGTCTATAAGCTGACATACGAGCAATGAATCACGGCTTTAAAACGCTCCAGTGTCCCTGTATCTGTGGGTCCATCTCAACCGATGATGTCTTCAGTGACAGAATATGCATATTAGGGTGTTCTCTGCTTTGAAAGGTGTAACACCAGCTCTAACCTTTGTTTTTGAAAGGATGGGTGCTCCGCGATCTAGCAACATCTCAACCACTTGCTCATGACCGCTCCTCGCTCCACAGTGTAAAGGTGTTAGGCCATCCTGGAGATTAGAAAACAAACACATATTACACTCAAAACGTCATCCATTATTATTATTAATCCATTCCATCTGACTACTACATAAATATCCCAATATATCAAAACAAACACACAATGGGATATATATTACCAGTGTAGAGTGTAAAACGCATGCAGCGGGTGCATTTAGGGTGTGTACAAATCCACTTTTGGTATTTTAAGAATAGAAACAGGGTCTAAAAGTGTTGTTCCTTTTGTCTTAATGAGTTATGGGTGTGTTTTGTGCGTATCATGCGTTAAACCAATCAAATCATCTCCCATTCCCTTTAAGTGTGACTTGTGATCGTGCCATAGCGCATTATCTATTTACATGGCGGGTTTTGTAATCAGAAAAACTGAACACTGTCCCTTGGTACCGCCTCTCTTCAATGGGGGGGCAGATCATTTAGTGTTATTGCACCCAAACTCTGGAACTCTCTACCACGCTTGCTCCGCTCTGCTAATAATATCCCTTGCTTAAGACTCACTTATTTTCTGAATGCTTCACTTCTGATCTGCCAAACTGACTACTTTATCTGATCCACCTCCACTCGGCTCATTTGTCTCCTAGGTGTTGTTTGTGTAATTCCAGTTTGTTATATTTGACTTCATGTATGTTTGTTTATTTTTTTGTCGCATTCCTTGTAAAGTGTCCTTGAGCTCTGGAAAGGCGCTATATAAATAAAAGTTATTATTAATATTATTAACACTTCACTAGTAAGAAAACTGCTTGTGAGCCAGGTTAAAGCAAGCGGACCATCTGCAGATTCCACCAAAGCCACCTGAGGTGAAGAAAGCAAGGGAGGAGGTAGGGGTTTATGTGTGTGTGTGCATATTCATTCATTTTCCATGAGCTTAGTTCCTTTATTCACCAGGGGTCGACACAGTGGAATGAACCGCCAACTTATCCAGCATATGTTTTACACAGCAGATGCCCTTCCAGCTGCAACCCAGCACTGGAAAACACCCATACACTCTCATATTCACATGCATACATTACAGACAACTTATTCAATTCACCTGTACCGCATGTCTTTGGACTGTGGGAGAAACCGGAGCACCCCACGCGAACACACTGGGAGAACATGCAAACTCCACACAGAAATGCCACCTGGCGGAGCCAGCGACCTTCTAGCTGCGAGGCATCAGTGCTAACCACTGAGCCACTGTGTCGCCTTATACAGTATATATTAATTGTTTCATGTGTAAAGATACTTCTATGCTGCTGCGCATCCTTTTGTGTGTAAAAAGTAATGTGTTTGTGCATTTTACATAACTAAAAACAGTTTTAAAGTCAATGGGGCAGTTTTTTTTTGTTTAGTATTTAGAGCAGTGATTCTCAATCCCGTTCTTGGAGGACCATCAGCTCTGCACATGTTTCCTTCAACAAACACACCTGATTCAGATCCTCAGCTCATTAGCAGAGCCTGCAAGACGTGAAAAGGGTGTAGCAGACATGCAAAACATGCAGTGCTGGTGGTCCACCAGGAACATGGTTGAGAACTGCTGATTTAGAGAGTGTTAGTGATTCAAAATGTGCACACAAGTTACTTTTTGCACACATAAGGATGCACAGCAGCACATAAATATCTTTAAATATCAAACGTTTAAGATGCTGCGCATACTGTGTGTGTGAAAAGTAGCTTTGATCTCAGAATCTACAAACGTCATACTTTTATACATTTATGTAGTAGTAGATTTTATAGCGTGTTAGTGATCCAAAACGTGCACACAAGTTACTTTTTACACACACAGGGATGCGCAGCAACACTTAATCATCTTTATATATGAAAAATCACAAGATTTTGTGCGTACATGTGTGTAAAAAGTAGCATGTGTGTGCTTTTTACATCACTAACATAATCTAAATTCAGGCCTCGTTTACACTAATACGTTTTCGTTTTAAAACGCATAAGTTTTGCTACGGTTTTGCCATCTGTCCACACTACGCCGGAGTTTTCGAGCGCCGAAAACGGAGCGTTTTAAAAATGCTGGAGAGGCAGTTTTCATTCTAAAACGCTACTGCTCCGTTTCAGAGTGGATGAGGAAAAACGGAGATCTGAAAACGGAGGCCGGACTGCTGAGATTTGCTATCTGATTGGGGCTTTTGTGTCATTGCGTATCCTTCCCTTATTCGTCAAGCCCCTATCACATGACTATAACACATGGCTTTAACGCTACCAGAAGACAGTACTGTAAACAACAACATGGCCACAGAAATGGGAGCGTTAATTGCACTATTGTCTGTTTTAGGCGCCATTAGTTATTCATTTGTTACGTTTAGTAACAACTCGACCTCGTCGTCTGTCCACAAAAATACCTCTCTTGCATTCTTTGCCATCGCGTTTAATGTTCAACCGGCGTTTGTTGACTAACAATAACCAAATGCCGAGCGAGACGCATGCTTTCTGTTTATACTAGAACGCGCATGCCCAGAGTGCGCAAATGGTCACGTGATATACGTTTTTGGTGGCATAGTGTGGACGGAGATATGTTCAGAGACGCTAGGTAAAAAGCTAGTGTGGACGCGGATCGTTTTAAGTCAAAAACTAAAAACTAAAACTAAAACACACTAGTGTAAACGGGGCCTCAGTCTACATCAGTTGCCTCAAAATATTAAAGCACCAATAATGCACATTAACACACCTCCTTTTCAGACCAGCTCACCCATGGGTACAAATGCATTTTCTATTTAAACAACGTGGTGCAGAACATAAAAATGATTCCTGTGCTGGGCTGAAACTAGCCAAAAACACTTGCGTCATGTCTGGGGTTGCATTGCACCAGGCTCAATGAGAGAAAACACTGCACTGCTGGAAATGGAGATGAGCGCAACATCTGCATGCATTTTTTCTACGACAGCCCTACCAAACACATGTAACCTGAAGGCTCTGGTTGTTATCATTTATTAGAATCAAATGGCATGTATCCCTCAATTATTCCTGCCAATAAATTCCCTGTTCATCTTGAAAAGCATCTTGAGCTTTTAAGAGAGCAGCTGAAACTCCCACACACACTAACAGCAATTGAATTAGTTCCCTCTGAAACGTGATATTCAATTAGTTTCTAAACCTTTCTTTCGCTCTACAATGTACGCATGTGGGTTGTGCAATGAAGGCATTTGGGGAAACCATGTGCTCACTTCCTCTGAAGAGATAAATATAGAGCTGCGAAAGAAAGACGGTCTGTTTGGTTTTTACTGCTCGCAGCACTGACCTTGGTTCTGGCGTCGATTCGGGCTCCTCTCTCCAGCAGAAGCCTGACCATGTTGGCGTTTCCTCTTTTCGATGCCACATGGAGAGGCGTGATGTCATTCTGCCACAATACAAAAAAGACCAAACGAATTGTCAGACGCACAATCAAGTGAAAAGTGCTGTTTACATGCAATGAAAATGTATTATTGGTTACTATTTACTATATAATACCAGCGGTTGGGCAGAGTAAAATTACAAATAACCAAATTACCGTAATCAAGTAGTTTTTCTGAGGAATTGTACGTCTAAAACTGTGTACTTTTACTTTATTTGAGTACATTTTAGTGCTGTATAGGTACTTTTACTGCACTATTTTCCTTCAACCTGCAGTCATGCTATATACACTCACCGGCCACTTTATTAAGTGCACCAGATTAATTGCTCACTAACATACATTTCTAATCAGCCAATCACATGACAGCAACTCAACGGATTAAGGCATATAGACAAGGTCAAGACAATCTGCTGCAGTTCAAACCGAGCCACAAAATGGGGAAGAAAGGTGATGGTTGATGAGATGAGTTTTAAGTATTTTAGAAACTGATAATCTGGAATTTTTATGCACCATCTCAAGAGTTTACGTTGGAAAAATGTTGCCTGGTCTGATGAGTCTCGATTTCTGCTGCAATATTCGAATGGTAGGGTCAGAATTTGGCACCAACAACATGAAAGCATGGATCCATCCTGTCTTGTATCAACGGTTCAGGCTGCTGATGACGGTGTAGTGGTGTGGGAGATATTTTTTTGTCACACTTTAAGCCCATTAGTACCAATTGAGCATTGTGTCAATACTAATGCACCATGTCATAAAGCCTGAATCATCTCAGACTGGTTTCTTAAAGATGACAATAAGTTCACCGTAATGAAAATGGCCTCCACAGTCACCAGATCTTAATCCAATAGAGCACCTTTGGGATGTGGTGGAACGGGAGATTCGCATAATCGTTGTGCAGCCCACAAATTTGCAGACAATGTGTGATACTATCATGTCAATATGAACCAAAATCTCTGAGGAATGTTTCCAGTGCCTTGTTGAATCTCTGCCACGAAGGACTAAGGCAGTTCTGAAGGTAAAAGGAGGTCCAACTCGGTACTAGTAAGATGCTCCAATGTGTACTCATTACAAGTCATTACATGCAACTACAGAGAGACTTTACATCCATTGTAGGAACAAAAAAATAGAATAGAAGCCAAAGGCTATTTCTTTCAGACATTCTTCGGTATATCTTTTTTTTTTCATAGAACAAAGAAACTCAAACAGGTTTGTGACAAGCAGAGAAAGAAAACATGATGACAGAATTTACATATTTTGGGATAGTCAAAATTGTTTTCATCAAAATGTTTGGTGATCTGAGCTATATTTGCTTCTTGAACTTTGAGGAAGTTTAAGCAGGTGTAAACACCCTAAATAGTCATGCGCTGTCTTGGTGGGAAAGATGGTTTACCTACTTTATAAGGCCGTTATTTTATGAGCAATGTTTTTATCAATGTAAAACAGCATAATGTTACAATTTATTAATGCTAAAAAGGAGACCTTTAACCAGGGGTGTCCAAACTTGGTCCTGGAGGGCCGGTGTCTAGGAGAGTCCAGGAGAGCAGGACCTGAACAGGTAATCAAGCACTTACTAGATATACTAGAAACTTCTTGGCATGTGTGTTGAAGCAAGTTGAAGCTAAACTCTCCAGGACACCGGCCCTCCAGGACCGAGCTTGGACACTCCTTGAACTAAAAAGGTCAGATTTACTGGTCAGGGGAAACTAGCAAGGTATTTCCTTAATGGGAATACAATCATTCATTCATTTATTTATTTTCTTTCAGCTTAGTCCCTTTTTTCTTTAGGGGTCGCCACAGCGGAACGAACCGCCAACTTATCCAGCCTACGTTTTACGCAGCAGATGCTCTTCCGGCTGCATCCTAGTGTTGGGAAACACTCATACACTCTCACACACACATTCATAAACTACGGACAATTAAGCTTACCCAGTTCACCTATACCACATATCTTTGGACTGGTGGGGAAACCCGGAGCACCCGAAGGAAACCCACATGAACACAGGGGAGAACATGCAAACTCCACACAGAAATGCCAACTGACCCAGCCAGGACTTAAACCAGCGACCTTCTTCTTATATTTTAAAACTCATTTAAAGGGATAATTCACCCAAAAAGGAAACAACTACTCATCATTTTCTCTCCCTCAAGTAATTCTGAACCTGGTTGCGTTTCATTCTTCTGAACACAAAAGAAAATATTTTGAAATAGTACATACTATTAGAGACTACAGTGGAAGTCTATATCAGTTTTCAATATTCTTTAAAAAAAATTCATTTGTGACGTAATGAGTAAATGACAACAGCAATTTTTGACAAAATGTGCCTTTAGGACTTTAAAATTAATGAAGAAATTTAATATTTTTATTCATTTATTTATTTATTGTTTATCAACAGAAGCCATTAATATCTTTGATAGAGAAAATAATAATCTTAATTCCTATATCAGACTAAAATCCTATATTAATGAAGCCGTACAAATAGGTTGCTTCTTAATATGCTAGTGGAATAGGAGCATGATATAAGGTTTTTGATGTACAAAGTGTTTCATCATAGGGATTTGTATGCTGTTGCACATGAGAGATTGTATCTGTATGTCTCTGCAATGACGCAGATGAAGTGCACAGTAATACTGAGCTACACCACCCTCTAGTGATGGCTCACAACATCCACTAAATTTTCATGATGTCCTTTTTTATGACGCATTACATAAACATATATTTGATCTGTGAATAGAACTTACTGACGCATTCCAATGTGCTTCTATTGTTAAAATGTGTCGCGTAAAATTTTTGAGCGTACAAATATATGTGTTTCATTAATATAAAACACAGATTGGGATGTTAGATGTATGAGATCAAATTTCATTCCATGTATCGATGAGATAAAGAAATACACGGGGTCAATCTGTGTATTAGAGTCTATGCAGGAATCAGAAAGTGAAATTCAATACCTTTTAAAGACCTTAAAACCACTTTAGGTTTCAACTGGAAACACTTTGAGATTTTAACTTACAGTATATTTACTAAATATTAATGTAAGAAACTAATATACTGATTTAAAATCTATTAAATCGGTCCCACTTTATATTAAGTGGCCTTAACTAATATGTACTAACACAGGAATTAATAGTTTGTTACAATGTACTTATTGTGTAAATACATGTATTTATTGTGTACTTATGCTTGAATAAATACCATCTGTAATTAACTTCTGTTATTACATTTGTAAACCAAATGTGTCGACCATCCCTTTCACTTTAACCCACCCTTAAACCTACCCATACCACCAAACCTGTCCATAACCCAATCCCTATCCCAACTCAAGAGCACCACAAGTGTTCTCAAATACATTATGAACACAGTAAGTACATTGTAATTATTTTTTGATGCAAGTACATAGTAGTTAAGGACACTTAATATAAAGTGGGACCATTAAATCTATTTAATTCAGCAGGTTGGCGCATATAGAACTGCAGAAATAATGGTGTTGCAGTAAACAAAGCAGCATGATGTCAAACATAGTAGGATTTCATAGATTTCACAGCATCCTGATATTTGCATATTTAATTTAGGCAAACTTTAGCATACAGCCATACATTGTATAATCAAAATGATTAAAAATTTTATACCTTGTAAAATAGCATTTAAGACTTTTTAATACTTTTTAAGGGACTTTTATTCATTCATTCATTTTCTTTTCGGCTTAGTCCCTTTATTAATCCGGGGTCACTAGAGCGGAATGAACCGCCAACTTATCTGGCACATTTTTACACAGCGGATGCCCTTCCAGCTGCAACCCATCTCTGGGAAACATTCACACACACACTCAAACACTATGAACAATTTAGCCTACCCAATTCACCTGTACAGCATTGTCTTTGAACTGTTTGGGAAACCGGAGCACACAGAGAAAACCCACGCGAACGCAGGGAGAACATGCAAACTCCACACAGAAATGCCAACTGACCCAGCTGAGGCTTGAACCTGCGACCAAGCGACCTTCTTGCTGTGAGGCGACAGCACTACCTACTGCACCACTGCCGGGAGCAATTTCAGTCAATACTTAATACCTTAAGTGCTTTAATTAAACTGAATTCCTCCATTAATGATAGTGTTTACTTAATTTAGAAATAATTCAATTGAATTAAGTCACAATCAAATGAAATAAGATGTAATGTATATACAGTTGGAGTCTTTAAATATGAAATGATTTTCCTCAGGGACTAAATAAGGCCCTGCATAGAGTGAATGACCATGCCTTGACCCTATAGTTCCCTTTCCATTCAGCTGGGGCTTTGCGTCCTTACCCTCGCCTTGAAGTCAACGGCAGCCCCGCGGTTCAGCAGCAGGGTCGCAACGTTGATGTTCCCGTAATGAGCCGCTATATGGAGAGGGGTGAAGCCGCTCTGGAAAGGGGGAGAGAAACAAATAGAGCACAGGGGTCAAAAGATCACATACAGAACTATGAACGCCTTGACCCCCCGTCAGCTGACCTGACCTCATCCTCTATGTAAGAAAAGACGACACCAGGCCAGGCGTGGTGCAGTAAATCTGCTGACAAATGGCCACCGAGAGAAGACACATCCTTTGGTTGATCCCTCACTCCATGCAAACTCAATCTAGCTGATTAGTTCTGTAGCTTTTTGGGCTAAACATTGATCTCTCTGTTTATATATCAGGCTGTGGTTGGAATCAACGGGAGGTTTTTTTTTCCATTTTAACACTAGATATGCAATTGGGTAAAATTTACTCACGCACATGACTGTTTTGATATGGCTTAAAGCAACATTATGCCACTGTATTATGTTGGTAGTATACTGAATTTGATTCTGAGAACAATATGTTGTAGGATGTACCTGGTACAACAACCGTCTCAGCCAAATCAACATTTGTGATGTCGATTTCGAAAGAGCTCTGTAAATTTTGCAAGTTGAGACTACAGAAATGTTTATTTTTTATATTTTGAATCAAAATCAGAAAGAGCTTTATTACCATGTATGTTGACACATATGAGGAAATGGTTTTCGTGACAGGAGTTGCAAATAAAAGTGCAATAAAATGACAGTGTAAGGACAAAAACACAGATAATAAAGTAGTTAAAAAAGGAAGTAAAAAAAGAATAAAATCAATAAATTGACAAATGTATATACAGGTATATTAATGACCGCCCAAGTATATTTAGTGAAATTAAATATACTTTATTTCTAAATATAAATATATTTTAAAAAAAAATTTTGTATCTCTCCAACTTAAACAAACATCCGTGACCGATTAAGTAGTGGAAAATCTTCTCTCGTTTACCAGTTGCGTTCTGTGTTGTACGTGTCAGCATTCCCACAGATAGTCTCATGTGCTCTTCAGATCTACAGAGACGTGCCTTTTTGGGATTTAAAAATTCGCCCAGCCCTGGTTTCTAAATTTCCTAAAATGTCCAGGATTCAACTTTTGCTTTTGCTTTTTAAAGCTTGTATGTGCTTTTAAAGAAAATAAGTAAATAATCGATTCTTTAATAAATGATTCAGAAAAACTTTATACTCGGAGAAGACGAAATGACTGGTCTAAACTGGCTACAGAATATATGTAGACCATTAGTAATGGTTAATCAACACATTTGCCTTATTTAATCTTGTAATTATAATAATACTTAGAGATATTGTCTGTTTTTATTGCTTTTCTGTCGTTTAGTTCTCCTTTGCTGAATATATCATTGATTCGATGATGTTAATATATTACATAGTCTATTTTATATACATATCTAAAATGCTTTGGCATTTAAGTTTGCTTTGAACTTGAAAGAGAGAGAGAAGCAGAGTTTACCTGTCAGTGGGTGCACCTGGCTCCTGAATAGCATAAAAGTAAGAGAAATTGTAGATTTCTTTTTTTTTATTATTTCAACAGTCTCTTTTTTTACTTTAACCCATTGAAAAGAAACAGTGTATAACAGTTTCATGATAAATAAAACTATTCTCAAAAATAAAGTTATGTTTTGTCTATTGCATATACGATTTATGTCATGTGGGTAAAAGGTGTGTTTCAATCCCGCTACCACCGCAAGTATATTTCAAACCTGTGGGAAGCACTGTTACTATATACAGTATTGAATGTATGTGCAAACGTAAACTAAGTATTCTGTTAAATAGATAAAAGTGTATGTGTGTATAAATAGTGTTGGTGATCCACAATTGTTAGTAATTGTAGGAATGTGACTAAAGATGGGACACAAAAACAAACACAGAGGCAGCCATCATCATTGCCATATTGATTAATTTTTACCTGTTTGCTTATATAGTGACTGTTTTTAACCCAGACTCAGTGGAGAAACATGTCCAGGGTTACATTTTTGGGAATCGTTATATATGAAAAAATGTGTAGTGTGTACTGTGTCATGTTTTCTCATATGTGCCATTTGCAAGGCCTTCTTTTAAATCCAGCAGAGGCCGCCATGTACATTTCTGCAAATCTCAACGTACTTCTTGCACATGTCTGTGAGAGAAGTCAGTCAGCTTGTGGTGCGTACTTTAGCTTGCTATCAACTGACCCACCCACCCTCTAACCTAAAACCAGCCAATAGTATTTTCAAAAGCAAACTAGAAAAGAATAACTGTCACTGCTATTTTATTAATTGCTCGATATTATCCATTATTTATAAAATATTAGTAAATAATTTGGAGAAATTTGCCCTTAAAATAAAACTTTGCGAAAACTTGCGGTAAATATTAAACGTGTACTGTAAGTTCCATGTATTTGTAAATAGGTCATGAGTGCACGCTCATTCACAATAAGCATAATCCCTGCTTATAAATTAAGCCCAGACTAAATGGAAATACATGCCTTAGCCTACATCAAAAAAGTAACATACTGTACATTGCTTGGGGTATGTTTTGTTGCTTATTTCAGGTAAAAAAACTACTAGAGGGCGCTGTCTACATTTTTGCAAATCTGAAATACGTGAATTAGAGCGTTTAAATAAACATGTATGGGTTAAGTTGACCCTGTGGCGGTTCTAGTGGTAAAGGATGTGTCCTCCTCAGATGTACAATATAAAGCCTCTATGACAGAAGTCTTTGGCCAGAAGTTGAATTAACACACATGTAAAGCTTTAGTGGAGGTGAACCCATGATGTCACATGTGCAAACATGCATATAGTGCACAGCATCTAACAACGCACCATTAAGGCATCAAAAATGTATTTTCTGTCTTTTGAAAGCAAATAATAATGATATATTAATGATATTTAATAGCAAATATATATAGCGCACAGCTAAAATAGACAGTGAGTTATTGTAATTTTGACAGATAGGAAATTATTCTCAGTGGTTAATAACATATCAGTTACTTAATACTGTAAGTTGCTTGTCATGCAGTGCAAAACAGAGTTGTTAACAAGTTGCAGGACAGCTGGAACAAATCTGAAAGCCATGCTGACTGTGGAGAAGAACGGGAAGGAGAAGAGAAGAGAAGAGAAGAGAAGAGAAGAGAAGAGAAGAGAAGAGAAGAGAAGAGAAGAGAAGAGAAGAGAAGAGAAGAGAAGAGAAGAGAAGAGAAGAGAAGAGAAGAGAAGAGAAGAGAAAAATAGACAAGATAGCCAAGAGAAAAGAAAAGAAAAGAAAAGAGAAAAGAAGTAGCTCTTTCTGCTGGCACCTGCCAAGAGGGGACCATCATGCATGAGACGGGGCAAGCGCTCTGCAGCTGAGGAGTCTGACCCTATAATACCTTCAGCCCTAGGGTGTTCTCCTGGTACTAGATATTTGGTCTAAAAGTGCATTCCGATTGTCTAAAAAAATCCCAGCATAATAGATATTCAGGGATATTCAAATGACACAAATTTCTTACTAGGAAATGGTTTTGGATGCTGGTGTGCTGGTTGATTTATTAAATTAAATAATTAGGCCATCCAAAAACGAAAAATCTGCTAATAATTTCTCATTCTCATGTCTCTCCAATCACCTAAGACGTTCGTTCATTTTCAGAACACAGTATTTTAAATGGAATCCGGAAGCTTTTACCCTGCATACAAAGCAAGGGTCATGAGATGTTCAAATTCCAGAAAAGGAACCAAAAACATTGCCAAAATATTCCATGCGACTTCAGTGGTTCAACTGTAATCAAATGATGCTCCAAGAACACAGTGTGCACCAAAAAACCTATAAATGACTTTGTTTTCCAAAATGTTCCCTTCCTAGCCAGGCCATCAGAGTGTGTTTTTACTATTGGCAATATGTTGTATTGCCATTACAGTAAGCAGTGCAATACACAAACCTTGTTTTGCCCATAGTAAAATGCCTAGGACCTGACTTGGTTGAAGAGTGGATTTTGACAAAAAAAAAAAAATTTACTTCTTCTTCTTTTTTTGTTTTCTTCTTTTTTTTTTTTTGGTGTACAAAAGTGTTCTTGCAGCTTCGTATGACTACAGTTGAACCACTAAAGTCACATAGAATGTTTTAACAATGTTTTTGGCTTTTAATTTCTCAGGACCCTTAATGTGTGTCGGATGTCATCTGAAATATCTTAATATGTGTTCCAAATATGAATGAAGGTCTTATGGAGATGAATGAAGGGTGAACTAATAGTTTAATCACCAGAATAAACAGAATAAAATCACTTGATCAAACAGATTAACTTGATAGTTTAAGTAGCAGCTTAAAGTCTAACCAGAACTAAACCAGCATAAACCAACTAATCCAATGTTGGCATTCATAATAGTCTATATAAAGTTTTTAAACAAAAACCTTTTATATTAGGGGCAAAACTATGCCATGAGCAGGCCAGTAACATGTTATTAGGACTGCTGTATCTGTCTTGTAATTCCATTTGGTGTCACTAGTGGTGCCAAAATTACATAGTTCACCAGTGCTAACACACAATCCTTTATTGAACAAGTAATTCCCTCAGCTGCAGATTTTCCTTCCCATGCTAGTTCTCCACTGCCGTTAGTAATAAAGCGCCATTCTACTGAGACAAAAACAGCACTGAGCAAGGACAGGAGGGAATTGGGGCAGCAGCCACAGCAGCAGCGTGACGTGGGCACTTTGTGAAGTGTGTAGAGTTTGTACATGTATACCTCTGTCGTTCTATTCACCATCATCTAGAGGGACCACCAGAGCGGGAGGAGAGAGAATGGTCTGATTAGTGTTCACAAAGTCACAATGGAAGCACCAAGCTGTACGGTGGCTACATGGTGAGGGAGAGCAACAAACCACACATCACGCGACACCACAAGGACTTAACTGGATGGTGCAACTGCTGTTTGTCTACATTTTAACTGGCTTTCTTTAAGGATGATACTTGTGTTTCCACTGCACTGTACAGTACGGTTCGGAATTTCTCTCTTCGGTTCGGTTTTGCTTGGCTTGGTTTGCATTTCCATTGCGGTTATGTACTGCTAAAAATGGCTGGGATTGTAGCTATAGGTGTGCAGCCTATACTACCGTGACATTCTGAAAAACTTTTTTTAATCCAGGTTGCCATATCAAACCCTCGCTGGATCCAATCCTCTGCTACTACTGAGAGGAACATCTGGACCTCTTTTACTGACCACAATGTTGCCATTTCAGGTGTCTTTTTCTTGTGGTGGTATAACAACTGTTTAGTTGTGGAAATCAACAATACAGCAGTGGCTGCAGCTGACTATTTAAATCCACCCAGACTCATTCTGATTACGTACCCCTATATACATTTCTGGAGAGCGCCAAATACAATCCAGGAGCTTACTTTTTCTTTTGCAGTTGCAGTTTTTGCAAATCCGCCAGAATCCGCTGTGTAGATTTTTTGAGATCTTCTATCGCGAGCCATTTGCAACTGCTGTTCTCGTATATATCCACCAGAAGTTGCTGTTGACCAACCGACCGATCCACCACACCCTCCTCCTTCCCTAAACCCAACCGATAATGTTTTTAAAAGCACCGATTGACCAGCGCCCACTCACTTCCCTAAACCCAACCGACAGTGTTTTCAAAAGCAATCCCAAGCGGCAGCCTGATTTTTACCACGTTTTTAGATCTTACCACATTCTCACCCTGTTATTTGCTTGTTTATTTGATTTTTTGGCTTTTGTTTTTGTCTTTTTTTTTGTTTTGCTTTTGTTTGTGGTAAACTTCTCTGACCACATTTCTAGAACTGCTCGATCGTGCAGATTCGCACTCTATAACATCAGAAAGATCCGACCCTTCTTATCTGAACATGCAGCTCAACTCCTTGTTCAAGCTCTTGTTCTCTCCAAACTGGACTACTGCAACTCTCTGCTAGCGGGGCTTCCAGCTAACTCTATCAAGCCTCTTCAGCTGCTCCAGAACGCAGCAGCACGAGTGGTCTTTAATGAACCTAAAAGAGCACATGTCACTCCGCTACTCATCCGTTTGCACTGGCTGCCAGTTGCTGCTCGCATCAAATTCAAAGCTCTGAGGTTTGCTTACAAAGCGATTTCTGGCTGCGCCCTTTCTTATCTGCTCTCACTTCTGCAGATCTATGTGCCCTCCAGAAACTTGCGTTCTGTGAATGAACGTCGCCTCGTGGTTCCATCCCAAAGAGGGAAGAAATCACTTTTCCGGAACGCTAGCGTTCAATCTGCCCATTTAATGGAATGAACTCCCTAACTGCATCAGAACGGCAGAGTCAATCGCTGTTTTTAAGAAACGACTAAAAACTCAACTATTTAGTCTCCACTTCACTTCCTAATCTGCAATTGCCTCTCTGGATATACCACTAACTGTACTCAAAAAAATAAAATAAAATAAATAAATAAATAAATATTTTTACTAATACTTCCCTTCTTAGACTTTACAGACCTGAAACTTGCCTATAGCACTTATTCATTGTTGCTCTTATAGTTGTGTAAATTGCTTCCTTGTCCTCATTTGTGAGTCGCTTTGGATAAAAGCGTCTGCTAAATGACTAAATGTAAATGTCTTACCTGCTTTCTAGAACTGTTCTACGCTGGACTCGAACCCTGTCATCATGGTCAACTCTGTTCTGCGTCTCAAATTCTTCGACGTACACAGCGAGCCACTTGACAAACTGGTAAGAGCGAAAAAGCCAAGCCGCCCATATAGAGGTAATCAGTCAGCTGGTAAGCGTGAAAAGGTACGGCGTCATGCTGTCTTAAAGACGAAATGCAGCCATACGTTCCAATGGCTATATAATTCGCAATCTCCAGAAATGTATATAGAGGTACAATTTCAGAATGAGCCTATGTTGATTAAATACAGCAAGTTTTGTGTCTTGTGTCGCAAATCTAATGCCACTGATTCTCATGAACCAATCAGTGACTAGGAGTGTGTAAACAACGTTTTGTTAATGATACAGCTAACTTTGAACCTTATCTGAGGTGGTACTAGGAAAAAATACAAGGTACTAAGTATGAAACGCTGTGGAAATGCCCCCAGAAGTGAACCATACCAAACCGAACCATGCCTTACCATCCAGTGGAAAGCGCCTAAGTAAATATACAATGAGCATCTCCCGTTATGCACCACTGAATTACTTTAGCCACCACAAAGTCTTGTTTTAGACGTATAGAAAATTTTAAATTGCATTAATTGCAAAATACAGTAATCAGAATAATAAGCACCATCAAGTTCTAAACGTAAACTCGCGAAAAGACTTGACTGTTTATTGATGGAGGTACCTTGGATTCAATATCTGCGTTGTGGTCGTTCTGCAGGAGTAGCGCCGCTGCTTTTGTGTCATCCTTACGGGCAGCGATGTGCAGGGCAGGTAATCGCACCTTCCCCTTGGTGTCGTTCTCCAGGAGCAGAGACACCACCTGATCATGACCCTGCTGGAGAGCTACGGCCAGCGGAGTAAAACCATCCTACAAACACACAACACAAGAATCCTTGAATAGTCGGAATAGATGGAAAACTTTAAGCATTCTAAAGAGCAAAAGAAACGCATTTAAATGTCAAGTGTAAATGGAAAAGCAGACTGCCTTATGTACTTACGAGCTCATTGACCAAAATGCATCTTAAAGGAATAGTCAAACACTGTAGATTACACAAGATATGTCAGTCGTACTGTAACGTTTAATATGGTGAATGAAGTCCCAAATACTAGTACAGGAGCCAATCATCAATCGTTATAGACTGACAATTTTCCAGAGGAAAAGCTCCAACCAGATGTGTGCTTTTACGACAATTTGGTGGTCAACAAACGCACTGGAATCTCAGCGAATGCTTGCTTCATAGACATAATAAATATATCCAGGTACAGTCCGTCCTGTCAAAACTTGTAAACAATAAGGCGCTGCCAATTCTGGAGGAGATTCACCATCAAGACCAGTGTGATCTGATAAAGCATTATTTAGAGGATAATGTGTAGCACGGCCATAAATGGGGTTGGTGTCGTGATCTCGTTTATATTGAGTGCGCATGTGCATTAGCTCGGGCAAGCTAAAAATTTGCCAATTTTTTTTGATGGCCGCCGAGTGAAATGAATTGCCTTAAAAGTACTTTGGAATAGTTTACCCAAAACTGAAAATTGAAAATTCTTGACCTTCACGTGTCACAATCCTATAGGATTTGTTTGTCAATGAAGTCAATGATTTCCAGCTTTCTTTCAAATAACATATTTCAGGCTCAGGAGAATATGGAAATTTATAAGGTTTGGAAGCAAATGAGGGTAACTCAACCAAGTGAGGAGTAAGTTTTCATTTTTGGGTGAACTATCCCTTAAAAAAAACAGATACAAACAAGACATGTTGTAATTAAGATCTTTAGTAGCTGGATCAGGTTTGTTTCATTATTCATTCATTTTCCTTCGGGTTAGTCCCTTATTTATCAGGGATCTCCACAGCGGAATGAACCGTTTCCGGCATATGTTTTACACAGCGGATGCCCTTCCAGCTGCAACCCAGTTATGGGAAACACCCATACATCCTCGCATTCACACATTACGACCAATTTTGTTAACGCAATTCACTTATAGCGCATGTCTTTGGACTTTGGGGAAAACCGGAGCATCCGGAGAAAACCCACGCGAACACGGGAAGAACATGCAACCTCCAAATGCCAGCTAGGCCAGCCGGGACTAAAACATGCGATCTTCTTGCTGTGAGGCAACAGTGCTAACTTGTTTCATTATGTTGAAGCAAAAATATGCAGGATGCAATTTTTGGACACACTTCACTTTTTCTACATGCACAAGCACTTCATGGGAACAGAATCTCTCTAATGAAATCCCCATTAAAGAACACACATTTCACAGTTAATGCTTCTTGAGATGAGCTACTTCTAAAGCCTATGGGGAATAAAGAAACAAACACCTAAACAAAAAAGAAAATATTAATACAAGAATAGGAAAAATCAATCATACACTGAGAAAATAGAAGATGAATCACCAGAGATCTTGAAATTGTTATCTGTTATTGTCACACGAGCCTTTAAAATACTAACAGTAAATAGTTTTAAAAATATTGAAATTATCATTAATTATTAATAATTACAATGAATTAATAATTAATACAATTATTATTTTAATTCATTCATTTTCTTGTCGGCTTAGTCCCTTTATTAATCCGGGGTCACCACAGCGGAATGAACCGCCAACTTATCCAGCAAGTTTTTTACGCAGCGGATGCCCTTCCAGCTGCAACCCATCTCTGGGAAACATCCACACACATATTCACACACACACTCATACACTACGGACAATTTAGTCTACCAAATTTACCTGTACCGCATGTCTTTGGACTGTGGGGGAAACCAAAGCACCCAGAGGAAACCTACGCGAAGGCAGGGAGAACATGCAAACTCCACACAAAAACGCCAACTGAGCCGAGGTTCGAACCAGCGACCTTCTTGCTGTGAGACGATAGCACTACCAACTGCGCCACTGCCTCGCCCTTAAAATTATTTCAATATTATTTCTTTTTCATATTATGGTTTTTACTGCAGTCTTTATTGCCACATGTATAAATTCATAATAACTGCATTTATTTGAAATATACTCCGATATCAAACAAATCACAGAATGTTTTATGCGAGCAACATTAAGATGATGAGCATGCTGACATCAAAATGCTGAAATCCACCTTTTTATAGTTAGAATCTGAATTTCAAATAGACCTTGATTCTCTCCAACGTGGATCATTAACATGCAAACAGCTCTTGAAACATGAAAGCATTCTCTGGTGCATAATCACCATCTAAGAGACACAAGGGCCCGGTACATTCTCAAGGACAGTGACGTCTGGCACCCTGCTCTGTCATGCACACACACACCAGGCATTCAATAACCTCACTGCGCAACTAGTGTCTGCCCGCTGCCTTGAAAAGCACAGCAAGGTCAATGGGTATTCTGAGTTTGTGCGTATCACAGCTAGAGGTGTGATGATGATTCAGAGGGCTGCCGCGGTGAGGGAAGTGATGAATGGACGGGAACAGAAGGTTCTGCTCACCTCCGTGGCGATGCTCTGACTGGATCCATTATCCAGTAGGAATTTGACGACGTCCAGGTGGTTTTCCTGGGCAGCCATGTAGAGTGGCGTAAAGCCATTCTGTAGCAGAAACAAAAACAATGCTTAGACTTCTATTTCATTCAAATGCTCTTCCAATGTATTGAGCAAACATACCGTACAGCACACACACATACATCCCATGATTCGAATGTTAATTAGATCACAACACTGCCTCATTTGCAGGATCGTACCGCAGTTATCATCTGTCAAACAAGCTTAGGATCTGAACTGGAAAACCCCTTGGGTCAATTTAATGCAATTCTTTTTTCTTTTCTTAATATTGTGGCTTCAGTGAGATTTTGTGGGTGCTAAAAAGTGCTGGTAACACTTTAGTTTAGGGCTGCTTGACATTGGAAAAATTTAACATATTACGTTATGATATTTTAAGATAGTTTGTTAGTCTGCAGTATAAAATGCCATATGAATACAATTTCACCAGAGGACTCTCTTTAGAAAGATTTATTATTAAATGTATGGGTAACACTTTATAATAACTACACAATATAAACCATTTATTAAGCATTAGCATCTAGTGAATTCATTATTTGTTAAGCATTAACTCTACATTAATAAACGTTAGTAAGCAGTTTACAACTACAGCTACAAATGCTGTATTCTTGTATACTTGCAACCACATGTATAATGTGCTTAATAATTGCACTTTCATACTTTGTTAATGGTTTATTTTTCATTACTAAATGAAGTATTGCATTATTTACAAACCGGTTGTATTTAAGAGTAGTTGGAGGTTTTTAACATAATTCAGAATGAGTTAGTAAATGATTAATAAACTATTGAAATCAAGATTTATACATCTTATTATTCAGGCATATGTTAACGGTTACTATGTATGTTAACAAATGCTTTATTAACTCAACTTCATGCAGTTTTGTGACCTAATCTAAAGTTAGGACTATTTATGCTTTATAAATCCCTTATAAATGATAATTAAAGGTTTGATATCAAATGAACAATAATCATTGAAATCTTATCTAAAAAGTCAAATTATTGTAAATATTAAACATTGCTGAATAACAGGAGTGTCAAAATACAACATAAAATTGTATAAAACAACAATAATATAATAATTTAACAATATAAAAAGATGCAATGTTTAAACTGTACAGTCATTTTATTTTAGATCAGGTTGCACAGATTTACTTTTCATTTGATACAGTTTCATTCGTGAATCTTCAAATAATTATAAATGAATAATGTTGTTTATGTACTTCTTTCATTTTTAGAATTTAGCTGACTCTTTAATTGTCATTTATAAGGCATTTATAAAGCATGAATAGTCCTCGCTTTCGATTAGGTCACAAAACTGCATGAAGTTGAGTTAATAAAGCATTTATTAACACATTGGTTGATTTCAATAGTTTATTAATCATTTACTAACTCATTCTGAATGATCTTAAAAAAAACACCAACTATGCTTAAAGAGCCCATATTATACATGAAATAGGGTCATATCCTGGTTGTAAGGGTCTCCAACAACAGTCTAATATGCATGCAAGGTCAAAAAACACTTTCATGGTCTTATAATCTGCATTTATTTTTACCTAATTATCCCAGCGACTCCTGTATGAATCGTCCAGTGATTCATTTGTTCCCAAACCCCTCCTTAGCGCGAAGCTAATCTGCGCTGATTGGACCGATGACAGTCTGTCGCGATTGGTCGACTGCCTTCAGTCAGAGAGGGAAATGGCCAATAGCTAATCAGCAATTTAAAAAGTAATCACAGTTCATACACGCTCGATAGTATAGACGTGGATTTTAGCTGCCACACTATGGCGAGTGGATAGTGCCACGGATAACCGAACGAAGGAGACAGTCGTGTACTGGCCATACCACACACACACAAAAACACACACACACCTCCGGATGACAACGCTCCCGCTTCCGCCCGCACCCGCCAGGTTTTAGCCTGAGAACCCGCTCCGTTTTCTGCCCGCCGCGCCCGGTCCCGCTAGAGCGGAGAACACAACCAAAAATCACCCAGTATACAGTCCAGACAGCCAAGCTGTCGTTCGTTCGTTCGCTCTCTCTCTCTCTCTCTCTCTCTCTCATACGCGCGCGTGCGCACTAACACACACACAAGCACCACGCAGACTCTCTCTTTCTAATTCGCATAGCAATATCCGTGATATTGCTAGACAGCCCGCTCCCGTCCCAAATTAAACCCGTTACCGACCGCTCCCGCGATTTATTCGGAAATTTATTCCCGCGGCTGTCCCCGCGCCAGATTTCTGCGGCGCGGGAATAAATTTCCGAATAAATCGCGGGAGCAGAACTCTAGCACGGAGCTCCATAAACAAACAGCACGCGTCGCGTTTTTAACGTGACTTTGCACGCGATAAGATAAAATATCCAGTTAACCTGATACAGTACACGCGGTTACAAGTAACAAATCACAACTAAATACATTTGCAAGCAAGAGTAAACGAGGCAACAACTTTAACCGCACGTACTTACACTTGAGAAATGGAAGAAACCCATCCTGACGTCCATCAGTTACTCTTTACTGATCCTTCCTTTAACAAACTCAGATGAAGTATTCTTTGTAGCATGTAGCTTCCAGAAGTTTCCAACTGCTTGGTTATAATGCTGAGGTTTCATCTTTGGGTAGAGACTCAATATATCCATCTGCAGTGTGACTTCAATCGACCGGCATGTTTGTGTGCGTGTGTTTGTTGGTGTGCGTGTGTTTGTGGGTGTGTGTGTGTGTCTGGGTTTCTGCGTCAGAGGGCGGGGCCTCAGGTTTGAAATCTCCCGGGTTTGCGCGTGCACGTGAATAACTTGGTTTCGTTCGTACGTCATGGCGAAACACCTAATGAGTCGGTATCAAGGCGACTCGTTTGAAGCACTATGAGTCGACTCTTTTATAGATGAATCAACAGTTTTAAACACTGTATTCTTACAGATTTAAGCCTTAGCTGGATACTTCGCTTCACTTAGAGCTGTGTTACACACTACATGGAGGGGAATTTTCAAAAACCCATAATATGGGCTCTTTAAATAACTGGTTTGTAAATAATGCAATACTTTATTTAGTAATGAAAAAAAATCATTAACAAAGTATGAAAGTACAATTATTAAGCCAGTATATTCATGGGGACTCTATGCTGCTCAGTGAGCTCCGTCTTTTAGATGAGACGGATGAAACCAAGGTCCTGACTCCCTGTGGTTGTTAAAAATAACAGGATGTCCTTCGAAAAGAGTAGGGGTTTAACCCCGGCATTCAGGCCAAATTTGCCCATTGGCCTTTGTCCATAATGGCCTCCTAACAAACCCCATATCATAATTGGCTTCATCACTCTGTCTCCTCTCCACGAATCACCTGGTGTGTGGTCTGGCGCAATATGGCAGGAAATTCCCCCCAAAAATGTGTAAAGCGCTTTGAGTTTCCAGAAAAGCGCTTTAAAAATGGAAGGATTTATTATTACTGAGATTTTACTTAGACTTTTTTTTTTATATACTTTTTGGTTATTTATTTGTACATACTGTATATTGTTAGAACTGGGACACTGTATATTTACTTTGTACTGGACATTATCTTCAACACTATTGTAAATAAATACCACATTTCTGTACACTTTCAGAACAGGCAATCGGTTCTTTTTTATTTTTATTATTATTATTTTTGTGGTGTCAGGCCTTTAGATCACAACCTATAGTTATCAATAGTAATTAGCAGCCCCAAAGAGAATCTGCTAATATTTCTCACATCGAAAAACTTGCAGAAGTCTGTAAAATGGCTTGTAACACATTAAAAAGTGTTCTAAATTAAACTAGTACTCTGTTTTTTTGTTATTAGAGTCATCAGATACAGTGTGTACCATAGCCAAAATGAGTTAGGGATGAAGGTGAATAGCTAGCTAATGCTGATAAATTGAGGGTGTATTTTATTTATATAGGTATTTTTAGATGTTACAGTGCAAAAAGAAGACCGTTGTGAAAATACACTGATCCAGCAAACCTCTTTTAAAAACATTTCCAATCAGCCTCCTGGTTCATTCAAGTGTCTCTATTTTAGGCACTGCGGTGTGAGAAAGCAGAACCAGGCTGCACTTGTGATAAGTTCTTGAGATAAAACACAGGCTGCCTCTTGTCTCTCATCCACATGTGTGTGTGTGTGGGTTTAATTTTGGACTCCCTGTGGGTCATTTCGGTGACAAGGCAAAAATGCGCTACTACAGCCCAACGACCATCCCAGCTCTCAAATCCCAACTGTTTCTCCTCAAAGCGGAGACATAAGTAGGTTATACTTAAAGCAGCACTTCTAAATCCTATTAGAACTATCTGAGGACACGCTGAGGACTTGAGAATGTAAACTTCACTCAAAGATCATAATGCAATGCATGTGAGTATTAGCATGAAGCGATTTTTATGAATGGTCTCCTACTGTACTTTCATGGCAGAGCAACAGTTTGAATCTTGCTTAAATTGGTTAGAGAAGATGAATGTGGGTAGAATGGTGGCTCAGTGGTTAGCACTGTAGCCTCACAGCAAAAAGGTTGCTGGTTCGAGTCTCGGCTGGGTCAGTTGGCATTTCTGTGTGGAGTTTGCATGTTCTCCTCGTGTTGGCGTGGGTTTCTTCCGGGTGCTCTGGTTTCCCCCATAGTCCAAACCATATGCTAAAGGTGAACTGAGTAAACAAATTGGCTGTAGTGTATGAGTGTTTATGTGAATGAGTGTGTATGGGAGTTTATATCATAAAAAAAAAGACCCACAGTGGCTTCTCCTACCACAGCAAATTCCATTCTGTCGAAACCAGTTTATCAGAAATAGGGGTGTCAAAATGAATTGTTTCTTCGGTGCACTGCGATGCAGACGCGGACAATTCGTTATCGGTTCAGTAATAATCATAACCGGTTATTATGTATTGACGTCATTTATCTCCTATGCGCGGAGGCGAGCGCAGGTATTTACAACACTCAGCCAACTCAGGGCCGGTCCGTGGCATAGGCACCATAGGCAAATGCTAAGGGCGCTGTTTATCCAGAAATGAGCGCGGTTCAGTTGGTTTTGTTTTCCATATTCCTGACACACATTCAGTTGTAGATGGCAATAACTCAAAAACCTCTTGCCCTAAAAAGATCTAAAGTGTGTTTGCTACAAAAAGACAAAGCTGGTTATGTTTCATAGCCGGGAGAGCTCGCGCTGAGAGGAGCTCTCAGTAAGAGACCATCGGAAAAGTGCTTATTTTTTTTTCGTTTTTCTGCTCTGCTCAGCTCGAGCTCTCCCTGTTGCGAGGGCTTAAGTATGTGTGTGTGTTTGTTTGGTGCTGTCTATGTTTGTGTATGTGTTTGAATGAGAGACAGTGTGGTGCTGTGCATCTGTGTGTTTATACAGACAGCATGTTATAGCCTCCACCCTAAAATATAACACTGTATATGGAAAGCATCGTCAATACACCGTGATGCACCGAGATATCGAATTGAACCGAATCGATGGCATGATAATCGTAACCGAACCGAACCGTGAGACCGGTATAGGTTCACACCTCTAATCAGAAAGTGACGATTTTGTTTGCTTTTACTCTTTGGATGGAAACGTTGCTTTATTCGAGCGTGTTTTATGAGATGTTCCAGTTTTGTGCATATGTTTAATGAGCATCTTTGGATTCAGTGTCAGCATCACTCACTTGCAGTAAGCCTACGTCAAGCTCTGACTCTACCTGAGACTGTGCGTTGATATTGGCTCCATTATTCACAAGTTCCTTGACGACGTCCGCCTGTCCGGCGAGTGATGCTATGTGCAAAGCAGTGTTTCCTTTCTGGAAAAAAAAACAACAGAGTAGAGCAGATTAAGTGAAGTTTATTCATAAACTAATTTCGAGAGGATCATGTGCTTATGATTTATCACGGCTGATCTCTTATTAGCTAATCACTATCTTCCAATCATATGAGCCCTAAGCTACATTAAATAACCCCAGTTTTCAGTCCATTTTATCTTCGTTCGTTTATCTCCTCCTTTACCACTGATCTGGTGGCACGGCGGCCCGGTGGTTAGCACTGTGAGCCCCACAGCAAGAACACTGCCACCCATGTTCCCGCCAGGCCGGTAGGGGTTTCTGTGAGGAGTTTGTATATTCTCCCCATGTCCGCGTGGGTTTTCCACGGGTTCTCCGGTTTCCTCCCACCATCCAAAGACATACAACATGCATAACAATCAAGCACTTGTCTAGCCCCTTTTCTCAAGTGTTCTCTTAGCTACCGCAGCCGGGAAATTCTGAGATCCACCGAGCTCAGGCTCCCCTCTCGCTCTGCAAATGGGAGGAAGGGATCCTCGAGCCCGGGGCTCTTTGCCGGGACAGCATGCCAAACAAGCTTTTGATAGATCATCAGCTAAGTGTGAACTCTTGAACTCAATGTGAAGAGACCCAATGTTAGTTTTTTTAAAAAGACAATGTTTCCTTACTGTTTCTGTCACTACAGAACACAAATTTTAAGAATTCACTTTGATAATCAGAGACTAGATCAGAGGCTTAAATGAGAACTACTTTAAAAAAATAAGATTATAAGTAAGTCTCTGATACTCTGATAGAGTATGTGAAGTTTCAGCTCGAAATACGACAGAAATAATGTTTTATAACTCTCTGAAATTTACGGATTGCCGGAAGGGACAACATGGTGGGGAAAAAAAATGGTGGAAGAAAAAAAAAAAACTTTGATTGGAAAACATATTTTTACGTTTTTTTTTTTTTTCCCTCGCAAAGATGTTTTGCATTATCTCGCAAAGATGTTTTGCAATATCTCGCAAAGATGTTTTGGAATATCTCGCAAAGATGTTTTGCAATATCTCGCAAAGATGTTTTGCATTATCTCGCAAAGATGTTTTGCATTATCTCGCAAAGATGTTTTGCATTATCTCGCAAAGATGTTTTGCAATATCTCGCAAAGATGTTTTGCATTATCTCGCAAAGATGTTTTGCAATATCTCGCAAAGATGTTTTGCAATATCTCGCAAAGATGTTTTGCAATATCTCGCAAAGATGTTTTGCAATATCTCGCAAAGATGTTTTGCATTATCTCGCAAAGATGTTTTGCATTATCTCGCAAAGATGTTTTGCATTATCTCGTAAAGATGTTTTGCATTATCTCGTAAAGATGTTTTGCATTCTCGCAAAGATGTTTTGCATTATCTCGCAAAGATGTTTTGCATTATCTCGTAAAGATGTTTTGCATTCTCGCAAAGATGTTTTGCATTATCTCGCAAAGATGTTTTGCATTATCTCGCAAAGATGTTTTGCATTATCTCGCAAAGATGTTTTGCAGTCACTCACAAAGATGTTTTGCAATATCTCGCGAAGATGTTTTGCAATATCTCGCGAAGATGTTTTGCATTATCTCGCAAAGATGTTTTGCAATATCTCGCGAAGATGTTTTGCATTATCTCGCGAAGATGTTTTGCATTATCTCGCAAAGATGTTTTGCAATATCTCGCAAAGATGTTTTGCATTATCTCGCAAAGATGTTTTGCATTATCTCGCAAAGATGTTTTGCATTATCTCATAAAGATGTTTTGCATTATCTCGCAAAGATGTTTTGCATTATCTCGTAAAGATGTTTTGCATTATCTCGCAAAGATGTTTTGCATTATCTCGTAAAGATGTTTTGCATTATCTCGCAAAGATGTTTTGCATTATCTCGTAAAGATGTTTTGCATTATCTCGCAAAGATGTTTTGCATTATCTCGCAAAGATGTTTTGCATTATCTCGCAAAGATGTTTTGCATTATCTCGCAAAGATGTTTTGTATTATCTCGCAATTTTTCGCATTATCTCGCAAAGATGTTTCGCGTTATCTCGCAAAACTGTTTCTCCACAAACACTTACTGTTCACTTCATTCATGTAAACCCTCCCCTTTTTGCCGAAATTCTCTCGTATTTTACCATTCTATCCCACTTTCTTTACATTAAAGCTATTCGTTGACTGTCGCCTTTCATATGCAACCACTGAACCAGTGAATGCATGTATAAGCGCTGACTGACAGACGCGCTCCGTACAATAAATTAATCCCAGATCAGCTTCTTTACACGCCATTAGTACATAAAGTGACACCTCTGTTATCAAACAAGTGAAGGGCAGCAAATAAATCTTTAGTTTTGTTTAGCTTGATAACAGAGGTGTCTCTGTAAGAATCCACAGATCTCTACTGAAAGCATTCCATTACTTTAGTAACTGTTTGTGCTCATTTAAGAGAAAATTAGCTGTTTAAAACAAAACATGCAGGACGGACATGTTTACATATTATTCAGTGTATTTGTCTGTTTAAACATACACCCGAATCCCAAAGTGTCCTGCACTTTTGCTCCAATGTAAAATGGCGTGTACAGAAGCTGATCTGGGATCAGTTTATTGTACAGAGCGCGTCTGTCAGTCAGCGCTAATACATGCATTCACTGGTTCAGAGGTAGCATATGAAAGGCGACGATCGACGCACAGCTTTAATCTAAAGAAAGTGAATGCAGACATTTTATTTTTTATAGTCAGCGTGCTTTCAAGATTAAAAATATAGTAGAAATATAGGAAAATACTTAATGATAGGATGATAGTGGGACAGAATGGTAAAATACAGAAGAATTTCGGCAAAAACAGGAGGGTTTACATGAATCAAGTGAACAGGACTTGTTTGTGGAGAAACAGTTTCGCGAGATAACGCAACAACATCTTTGTGAGGGAACGCAAAAAAGCCTTAAAAATATGTTTTCCTATCACTGTGTTTTTTTTCTACCAACCAGTTTTTGTTTTTTCCATCAATTTTTTTATCTTCCACCTATTTTTTTTTCCCCACCATCACATCCCTTCCGGGTCTCCGTAGAAATTCGCCCTTTCAGGTTTTGTGACATTTTGGTGACTGTCGCTTTAAATTCAAATGAGATTGTGCTGTTTTCAGAAGAGGGCGGAGCTACTAATGCCAATGTGTCAGCCTAGTGGCAGATTCAAAAACAAGACTAATGTCCTATGCTAATGAAGGAGAGATCATCACTAATGGGTGGGGCTTTCCCCCTCTGATGACACTTACAAAGAGAGAATTTCAATCAAAGTGTTTCTGCAGACTGTGTCTATGAAGTGTGATTTCAAAACATAAAATAATAATTTTTTACCATAAGAAGCTGATTATATTCACAGACTTTTGCCACACAACTGTGTTTAAACCCCTTATTAAAGTGATTTTTGCATTTTTGCTTCTTTAAAGTCCACCTGAACATTAGGCAACCTTGACTTTGAAGACTTGCTGATGCAGCAAAAGAAATCACGCACATATGAATAACACATTTCTCATCTTTAATTCATACGCTTAGATTTCTAGACCAGTGCACATGGTGTCTTTATAGTGGCATGTTGTAGTATGTGATGTGGTGTTGTGGGTTTTACCTTTGTTGCGGCGTCCACCGTGGCACCAAGTTTAATAAGCTCCGTCACAACCTCCACGTGGCCTTCTTTGGAAGCCAGATGAAGAGCGTTCAACCCATTCTGCACCCAGAGAAACAGACAAAGCCCACATTAAATATATTACTGACTATTCATATATGATCAGCATGAGGCATTTTATGAACAGAAAATGTTATTATATGCGTTGACATTTCATTTAGGCCGTCCTCAACCACACTACATTTTATATTACAAAATTTGTTTTAATGTTGTTAGATTAAACATTTTAGAAACATCAAAAACTGTATAAAAAAATTATAAAATAAGTTTTCACTGTTCTACTTTTTCAGTTTTTCAATATAATCATTTCAAGCATGATATAAAAAAAATAATTCTAAAAAAAAGTGCCATTAAATCATAAAAATAATCATGTTTTTGACTTTTTATGTGTTCTGCTTACATTCTTATAGACACAAATAAAATCATATCTGTGAATAAGCATTATGCTCGCCAAAAGGCTGTTTATTTGAACAGAAATACATTAAATATGTTTTTTTTTTAATATTACAAGTTTAAATGGGATCTTAAGGGTTCGTTGTCTGAAATAAGCTTTCCATTGATGCATTCTTTATTAGGGTTTGAATGCATATTTGCTGAATAAAATCCTTAATTTCTTTTAAAAAACATTTAAATGTTTATATACAGTGTCTAAAATACTGTTTTTCTTTTTACAAAAAGGAAGATAAATGACCTGATTGCAGATGTTGATGTCCACACCAGTCTTTATATAATCGAGGGCTTTCTCAATGTTTCCAGCCCGGGCCGCTCTGAGGTAACTGGCATTACTGTCAGTCTGAAACAGACAGAAAAACAACAATAAGATCTTACTATTCGCAAGCCCTGATTAGTTCAAAGACACAAATAACATGTGCAAACACTTTCAATTATCAAGGAGAAGAAAAAAAAAACATAATCATAGCCCAAAACACAATCAGCAGACTCTGGAATCTTTACTGCAGGTGTTGCAACTATTCTTTTTCAGAGAGTCGTGTTAAAATAGCTGTTTGTGAATTTAAAACGTTTGCAAAGTTTTAAAAAATTAATGGTAGCAAAAGATATACTGTCTCAAAAATAAAAGAGAACCAATTCTGAATTGCCTGAGACGAGTCATGAGTAATTACAACCAGAATAAACTTACTGTATATGTAAATAAATTACTAAATTAATAAAATAAAATAATAATATACTTTAATAATAATAAAATAATAATATACTTTCGGAAAAGTATTATTTGCAAATTGTAAATAGGGAAATCATATTAGCAGCCCATAACCATTAAGTACAACATTGTTCATTGTAAATTAAACAGTGCTAATGTTGTTTAAAAGTCGTATACGTGGTAATTAATATAGAGAGCTTGTCATAGCTGCTGTCACTGAACGAATGTGCAAAGATAAAACCAACTTTTCCTCAATAAAATACCAAATAAAATGTTTCATAAATCACAAACCAAATCTACTTTGACCCTCAAACCCTGTAGCTGTTTCTGCCTAAAAGAGACTCGTTTGTGTTGTTGACATCACGAAGGCAAAACGAAGAAATTACAAACGATAACGTTAGCCTATTAAAATGAACGGCTTACAATACAGAAATTGAATCAAGTCAAAAATCGTATTCACTTTTTGTTCACTGTATATATAATCTAAATACACATTCATTCAAAGTTACAATAGTTTATTTAGTAAAGAGCCGTTTTCATATTTATTTCAAAGTGCGTTCAAACCAAAACAAAACAAAAGCATGATTCTGTTGAACAGCTCTTCGCATTTACGAGCAAGGGGCGCCCCCTAGTGGTTTGGCAGAACTAAGCGTATAAGGAGGATAGGGTCTGTGTAAATGTTAGTCACCTTCCACAGAAAAATTTTAAACAAATATGGGGGAAAAAATACTTTAACGGGATGATAGCAAGATACAATAGTGAAATATAGGAGAATCCCAGGAAAAATGAAAAGGTTGACAGGTTTGCATGCACTTCCAACGAACAAGAATGTGGACTCAAATTCTTGTGGTAAAAATTATGTAATTGTTTCCTTGTTTCGGATATCATAACAGGATAGTATCAATTGTTTCTGACAGACACTGTAAGTAGCAGAGGAATTACAAAAGACTAGGCCTCCAGGGGACCAATGAGAGCAAATGTAGTCTCCGCCAGTCCTAATCCACTCTACCTACACCGAGCTGGGATCAAACCAGCGTTATTTTTTTTTTTTTTTTGCACGGGAGTTGGCTGCTCCAACAATGAGGCTAAACACCATGGCCTATAGCCTCTATTGAGCACCTTTTCAGGTTCAGAGGAGTGAGGTTTACCTGCACAGCACTTCACTAGCTGGCCTACATTACACTTACTCCCCTAAACCTCACTCACTCCCATCCGGGTCACGGCACCAATGTAACTAGTTTTTTTGCATCTCTGCTGCTTGTGTAAATTAATATCGACCTTATATATCAACCTTATACATCGACCTTATATATTTATACAGTATATATCAACCAGCCCTTGTGCACTGGCTTCTTCATCATACACATTCAAATTATTTTGTCCTTAAGGTAACAGAGGGGACGCTCTACATGTAAAACTATAAACAAATGTTAACCCCTTCCTAATAGTATTTCAATGTGCTCTGTACTAGTTCAATATCAGCAAGTGAAAAGATACAATATGACCCTTTTACACAAAGATGGCTCTCAGTAAGGCGGGTTTAGAGATACCAGATCCTTAAATGAACCATTTTACACATTGTGAGAAAACAATGCTGATGCGGTGACGATTATTATGAGAAAATAATCGGTGTAAACATACAAACTGCATTGGCAGCTCTTGGGTAGCAGGCAGTGTTGGGTTAAAAAAAGTAACATATTCCAAGTTAATCTTAGTCTTAGAAAAATAAAATATATATAACAAATTTTTGTGTTATTTTTGATTCAATATACAATTTAATTTTCATTATATATGACTTAACAAACTACTTTTTATCCAACATTGAAAACAGCGCACCAATATCATCAAAAGAAAGAGAAGTTCAAGACAAAATAACAGCCTTCCCGTCCTCTTTTTCCAAATATTTCCCAAGTGATGTTTAAAATATGCAAGTATGCAAAGACAACCATACACACAAATGAATACAAGTTTAAATAAAGCACTGATTTAATTTTAAAGTGAGTCCTTTCATTGGACACTCTGAACTAATTCATAAAAAGGTATCTGACTTAATCAAATGCAATAAAACCACTATTTTATGCACTGAACCTTAAGGGAACGTTCTCAGTCTGAGCACTTGGCATGCTCACAAGCTGCCCCATAAGGAAGCTGTCAAGAACGCCAGCGATCTAGCCCCTGCAGGTTGCTGAAAAACATTCACTATCACCCAAACTACAATTCTGCCACTGAGCTGCGCTACATTACCCACCATGCACCTCTCACACACACCAGTTCCAGATAACCACTGATGTATCTCATTGAGACTGATTAGTTAGACCAGGGGTAACCAATCCTGGTCCTGGAGGGCCGGTGTCCCAGCAGGGTTTAGCTCCAACTTGCCTCAACACACCTGCCTGGATGTTTCAAGTATACCAAGTAAGACCTTGATTAGCTTGTTCAGGTGTGTTTGATTAGGGTTGGAGCTAGTTGTAGTAATGGTGAAATGAAGCTTTCTGAACTAGTAAAACGTTCGACTCTGAAAAATGTTTGTTACTCAAAGCTTTGCAAATCAGAGCTTGATAAGGACCTCTGCTGGTCAAAGTGTGGGAAAGCACTGTGTTGCAAAAATGTCAAACATTCACATCTGACCAACTCATTCATGGAGTAATACAACAGTAGTAATATAAACAAATTACTCGATTACTGTAGTTTTTTACATATAAGGTATGTTACATTACACCACAGATGACTGCAGTAAAATCCAAGGTATTCAAAAACAGGTCCAACACCCGCACACTCGTTTCAAGCAGGGATCGAACCGGGATTCCTGCATGGGAGGTGAATGCTTTAAGGAAGAAGTTATCAGAATGAGGCTTAGGGGCTGCCCTCGTCAGCTATCCTCAGTTACACACTATACTACAATATGCAGTGACCTTCTTTGAAAACAGTTGTAAATAATACACTAATACACTTTAGTAAGGTCCAAAAGATTTTTACCATAAATTACTATTGTATTTTAGTTGAATTACTGCTTCGCGGGACCGGTGCGGTGCTTTGAAACAGTAAAAATGTATGTAATCGGCTCCTAATCTCTCGCTATACACTTTACTGACCCATGAGGGTGTTTAAACCTTTGCATCGAAATTCGAAGCAGTCATAGGCGAAAATGAAGCTTCGGACGCCACTGATAAATTGATTATGGCAAAATAAATTACGCTTCGGTACACTGCTTCACTGCGAGATTTTTTTTGATACATGCTTTGATGCCTCAGTGCACAACATCATATCACTAATATGTTGTAAATAAACTGCATTTGCACCCTCACCTCCACTGTACTCGGACTCCCTTGTTACAAGCATTGCTACACTATAATGTAAGGATACACTCCCAAAAGGCAAGGAAACCAAAAACTTAATATTATTAAAATTATTGCAATGCTCACAATGTTGCTGTTTTATATTGCCTGTAATATTATTAGTAATATATCAGTATTATTGAATATGCTGTATATTGCACTGTCCCACTTTCTAATGAGGAAAGAGGACTGATGCAGGTTTTGTTGAGGCCTTTCCAGAACAGGCTGCATGTGTGATGAGAGAGAGAGAGAGAGAGAGAGAGGGAGAGAGAGAGAGAGAGAGAGAGAGAGAGAGAGAGAGAGAGAGAGGGAGAGAGAGAGAGAGAGAGAGAGAGAGAGAGAGAGAGAGAGAGGGAGAGAGAGAGGGAGAGAGAGAGAGAGAGAGAGGGGGAGGGAGGGAGAGAGAGAGAGAGAGAGAGGGAGAGAGAGAGAGAGAGAGAGAAAGAGAGATGTTCAAAGGAAACTCCCACACACTGCAGAGGTTGAGCCTGCATTACACACACACAATGATTTTTCTACATGCTATAGAATCGAGACACAAGCCAGACACTGATATTGCCGGAGGAAGTGAAAGACTGAAGGAGTATAAAGTGATTAATGATGAATCAGATTGAAAAACGTACACTTCAAACATTTGTAGATTGTTTGAATGGATTATTAGCACAGCCTCCAATGATTTATATAAAAGCCGAAGTGTCGTTGCTGCATCAGTACAGCATATGTTAGGGAAAATTTTTAAATAAAAATGTTAAAAAGTACAAAACAAAAAATCAAGCAAATATATATAAATATATAAATATAATAAATATACAAATACGTATATATATATATATATATATATATATATATATATATATATAATATCTAGTTGAAATTTTGTAGTTTGTAATTTTTTCCCCAACATTTCACATGAATTTAAACATGAAATATTTCTATTTCTAAAGATGTTTGGTGCCAAAAATATTGTTTTAATAAATTTATCTGTTTAATAAATCTGTTTTGATAAAATGCCCCAAAATATATTAACTATATTCACTGAGAAATGGAAGATAATGTCCTTATAGAATGAGTACAATGAGCATACCCCATTTTGAAAATTAATATTTGACATTCTTGTTGGTAGAATCTAACAAAATAGCATTAATAATGCATTATTTTACCATGTCAGAAAGCTCAAGAAGGTCGCTGGTTCGAGCCCCGGCTGGGTCAGTTGGCATTTCAGTATGGAGTTTGCATGATCACCCCATGTTTGCGAGGGTTTCCTCCGGGTGCTCCGGTTTCCCCCACAGTCCAAAGACA